TGTCTGTGATATATAACCAATTAGAATCAAAAAATAGCATTAGTGTCATAGTACTGACCGTCTCTTTCAATTCAAGCACATTATCGGCACGAACCTCTCAAAGGCTGGCCTTGTTCAACAAGTTGTCAACCTTGAATAAACTGAAACACTGATCTAAATATTCTTCGTTTTTTCTTCTCTGAAAAAAGAAAGAAGGTTTAATATCGTCGGGTGAAAACAATGACGATCCAGTCGTAGCACTCACGTGCCGATAAATCTGTTTTTTATTCTATGTATAGTTACTAACTAACTGAAGGAGCGATGCGAGGTGAAATGACTCTGCGGCTAACAGATGTCGTTGGATGTGGTTCTGCTGCCTTATCACTGTATGAGGCGATGTCTAATAATCTATATTATTTAACAAATTAAATATTTTTACTCGGATTATGACAAGTAAGATAACTATAGGAGAGAGGAAAATAACTATAAAAATCATTTAGAGAAAACAAATCTGCAGGAATAATTCAGTTTATTATCGTACACTCGAATATATGCGTATTCAGATTCTATAGATAAACTGACAGAGTAACAGTTTTGAAGATATGGTGTATTAACAGAAATCAATTTTAAAAAGTTCAAAAACACTGCCACGTCTAAAACTGTGTGATAGAAATTTAACTAAATTTTTTGTTTTTTTTTTATCTTCCTTGACAGTCCATTATTATTATTCAAGGATCTTATATACATTCTGAATTAGCAGCGATGGATGCAAGTATCCCTTGCGCCAGACTTGTCTTGACCCATTCAAGATGACGTGATCCATCTGATGAAAATATGTTTAGACAACGTCTTTATTCTAATTTTAAGAAAAGGCCTTCGTAGGGGGACCAACAAGGCCGACACAAGTCGAGCGATAACATTCTCCTCGAAAATGTCTATATAGAAGAAACCACCATTATATTTGCTGCACTCCCAGCAGATTCATCAATCGCAGAAGGCTTTATAACAAACAGGGGAGAGTCACACCGTGCAACTAATTGCTTAGATGATTTCTCACGAATAACTCAATTGGTTCTGGAACTGTAGTCTCGGAATTCTATATAGAAAATTTCGCAATAATTCTTATATTCAAAATATTTTTTCCTAAAGATATGCGACGTCGCCTTTTGTCGCTAGGAACGACGAGGGGCGGTAGTTCGGCGCTTCGTTGTCGATGTGTAGTTTGTTCTCCCGTAGAATTGCAACGAGAAGGTTGAGTGCATTGATAGAGCCCACCACAAACATTACCTTGTGCCTGGGCGGCAAGTCGAAAGCTGCTTCGAAATCGAGGAACGCTGGATATAGCGATATGGCCAATGTTCTCCCGATGTCGGTCATCAGAATCCTGCATGCCATTTCTCTCAAGCGTACTGTTCGGAACACGTGTTGCTCCGTAAAAATGACGTGACTTTTTAAGTAGCTGTACAGTCGGCTGGCTAGCAGTCCGAAGGGCGGGCAAACGAAATGTGTTTTGGCACCTTTCTTGTTTTTTTCCTACCTTGTTTTTACCATGTTCACTTTTACGGGTGGTTCATCATATCAAATAACTCATACTGTCATAGGCTTTCATCTGCAGTCATACGCTGTAGAGTGCCGGTTCGATCTATTTCTAAAAGATTAGATAACGGCTTTAATTTATTTGGTTGGGCTTATAGGGATTCTTTTTCACCACTTGGAGAATTCATGCATAAGTCAAAGAGTTCCTGCTTGCTGCACCCAATGTTGCCCAACAGATTGAGTAGGGGTGCGGATTGTTCCATTGCTTAGATAGAAATAGCTCTCATGTAGACCAGAGTACAAACAGCCTGCAAGATAAGCCAATATTCGATTAGGTTGTGTAAATAATTAATTTCCTATTGGTCGACTAGGCGACTTCAGTAGCCTTGACAAAGTGCTCTTCCGAGTAGACTATCGTGTCAAATTTTCGCATATTTTTGTCACTGGCCGTTCTCTTTAAAGCGTTTTTTTTTCTTTTTGTCTACACCATCGATACCGGTCAAATCACTTATTTAACGCTGCATAATTGAATACGACTGCGCAGCATTTTCGTGCACAATGTTCTACTATTTTTCACTTTGGTACCTTTAAATTCTTCGAAACAGAAGTATTTAATCATAATAACAATAATAAAAGTTCCTCAGCTCTATAGCCCTCAACCCTCAGACCAACGGCTCTTGCTAGTTCGTTTAAATATGACTCACACGCTCCAACGGATCAGTACTTTTATTTTGACCAGATTCAGAAGGCGTACGGCGGTTTCTCAAAGGAATCCTTCATCACCATTTAGTATTATATATTTTGTCTATAGAAAATATGAAGGAAGCCTAGGGATTACAGTTTAACCTAGAGAAATAATAAACACCATAGTATGAAAGCATAACAGTCAAAATATTATTGATACAGTTACACCACAAACCAGATTCATGTTGCAAGATAGAATTCCTATTTCTATTTTTAGGGAGATGAAAATACAGAGCGATTCGACCAAACTTCGAAAACAGTAGTATGTTTATGTTTGAGCTCGATCATGCTACGGTTAGTATTCCGGCCTTGGTTAGAGGTCATTCAAGGAAATACCCATGTACTTACTGAGCCAAATAAAGTACATTAATAGAATATGTATCTAATCACATCATGCGAAATAAACGCGCGTGCTAATATGTTTCTATTTTAATACTTACCATTCAAATACACTGGACTAGCTACACCTTCCGTGAAGCAAACGAAGGTCAATAACCAACCCAGGAAATCTCACCCTACATTGCTTAAGGTCGTGGTCGTTTTTAGCAATAAACTGAGCTAATGTGGTTTTTGAAGCGATGAATAAAGTCATTCCATAGTATAGAAATAGGCACTTTAGCGACGTCATCATGGCGAGAAATAGCAGTTCTACAGAAGGGTCAACTGCGTCACGCTTTTTAACGTCAGTGGATTTTTCTCTCAGCTTCTCAGCGACCGATGCCGCTTGAAGGCACAACAAACTTTGTAAGCTATGTAGGTTTCAGATTTTTGCTTTTACTTTTCACGTTGAAGAGCTATCATGGTCTGGCTAAGACTATTCGAGGCCATTATATGGCCGTTCGCGGTAGCAGATTTGGATCAGCCCACGGGCTTCCCCACCAGTGCTTACTGTTTGTCTTTAAGATTGTGCCACGGACAATCAGTTATACACACTGTTGGTAGGAGTACGCTTATACCATAGACACAAGGAACACATTTTCATAAGTTAACAGGTTAAAGAATAAATTATATTTCCCATATCTTTACGACTTATTGTTCAGCTGAAAAAACGGAGAGAAACGCTATTGACGTCGCAAATAACGAAATATGCGCAGTTGTTAGCGAATATAAGTAGCAACTTTGTGTATATACATATACATATATAATGTATTGCGCGCTTTAATTTAACAGAGCCCTTTAGAAAGATAGAGTGTCCTTATGGACCGCCTCTTTTTCTTTATATTATATTATCTTAAAGCACGCTTTTCTTCTTGCTTCTTGTAGATCACACATGCTGTATATTACCCACATGATCCGCTTGTTTATGGACATTATTTCTCGTCAACTGAATATTACAACGTGGTTAGCTAGAACGGCTTTACATGTTGCATGTAAATCTGGTACCAATGTAAAAAAATACCAAGCGACTTTTTCCTGGGTTACCTAGTTCAACGTATGTGTATTTCGAACGGAACGTACAATAAACCTTTTAAATGAAAAACTCCTACATTAGGAGGCATACAACGTATTCACCTATCTTCCCTGTTTGATCATTGGTTTTACCGGTAATAGGTTGTAGTAAACTCACCCTGTATCTTATTAAAAGACGGATGTTTTTTCATAAATAATTTTTTATTTAAATGTACTAATTGTTTGCGATCAGAGTAGAAAGATCAATACATGGTTACGTCACCGCTGCATGGGAAAATTCACATATGGTTAGTTGTACAACAGGTATAATTGGCTCACTGAGGCAGAAAATGCCACTTACGACGTCCGAGATGTCCTAGCTTGTTGCCTATTTCCAAAAATGCAAAGAACCCAAATACACTAGTGCTGGCAAATATACGGTTAGCGATACGAGACAGAGCGATTTATCCGATGCCATTAAAACGGTGAGAATTTACGACGACATAGATGTATAAACGTTTCGAGGTCGATGTTTGATATAGCCGGTAAGCGTTGCTTTAAGAGCATGAGTGACATGTGCCTAAATACATTCGAAGCTATTGTGCATTCGAAGTGATTTCCTGCATCATGGGCAGTAAGCTTTTGGCCGAGGTATTGGTGGAGAGGTTTAGCACTGCTCAAGTATAGGAGTTATGGTTGTGGTCAACAGTTAACGCAAAAGCCGGGTTTACATCAAGCGTAGGGTAATTATGAATGTCACCCGTTTGGGTAAGCTTACTGAAGAACATGCCGATCCAAACAAAGACATTTCCATCCAAACATGACCTGAGATATACTTAAACTGAAGAAGTCGAATACAACAAAAATTGTACTATTAAGCAATATATTTAGCAATATTTGTCTTGTTTCTGTATTTATTTGGAAACCAGACACACCTCTAACTCAGTATTTACGATCTGAACCCCTTAGGTTGGCGATATTTCGATTTTGCCCTCACAGTTCTGTAGCTTTATCAGTAAAGTACGCATCGTATGATTATTCTGACTGCATCTGCTGCCGACAGCTTCAGCTACGATCAGAGCGGCTGTAAGATTCGTGCGAGGATTGCAAGGTGTACATAAGGATAACTCCGTCTTTTATTATGAATAGAAGCAGCTATACAGTAACGAGGGCAAGCTAATTGATCACGGATTTCCAATCTGAAACGGTCCAGTACTACGAGCATACGAGGTTCGTGCTAATTTATTAGTCAGCGCTTGATTTATTTGCCTATATTAGCTAGTGGTTCTAGTGTAGTGTCAACTGAAACATAAGCTTCTGGTTATAGCAGGTAGATTCTGTCTGTGTCTGTAGGACAACAGACAAACGCGAAGGTTCCGCTCGTCTTGAATCGATATTAGATACCTCTTTACTGCATTAAGTTTCAATGGATTCACCGTTTTTTATGCCTAGTACTTATTCTTAATTGTTTAGCGAAGCTTTTCCATTGAGGTGAAATGTGCCGTGCGAATCGCAGAAAATAGGAGCGCTTTATTTTCCTATAAAGGTGCCTGCATAGAAGTCGTCTTCGTCTGTCTAAAAAGGGGCACTTTACCAAGCAAGCGCAAAAAATGCTCAGTGAATCTGACGTACTTCAAACGTTTTTGTCAAACATTTGCTGCTTTTTTAAGCTCTCTCAAGTGAAACTTAATGCATTGTTGGTTCAAGCCCGTAACATGATCAACTGTTAGTTGTCTTTAAGCAAATATCTATATATATTTTTTTCTTAGAGCGCTTAAAAATATTATTGGATAAAACTTTTTAACAAAGTTTAACTTAACTTGATTTAACAAAACCTTGAGCGGCGCTGTAAAACACAACCTTAAGTTTCGCATCATTTTCCCTAAATAATTCCCAAAAAAATAGGTTGAACTTGGATATAATTCAACACTCTATGGCAGGTTGGTAAATCCTTCACAACAATAGAATGACGTTGTTGCGCATTCGTTCATAATAGACACGTAAAATTACGCATAAGATCTGTCAGGCGACGCAGTAGTCTCGCACGAGCACAACAACAACGACCGAAAGCAACGATAAAATTGCATCATCAAACAAGTAGTCCTCAATAAATGAAGCGTGTTTATAATCTCTAATGGAACGTAAAAAGGACTCGGTTTATAACAATCGTACTGTCTTTCTATAACAACAGCTGGCAACAACGATCCGCCGTAGCCCACATAGGAAATCAGCACAGCGTCAGCTATGGCTCGGCTCCGTTGAAAATCGCTCGCCTCTTTGAGGCGGCAAATCCATCCCAGAGAGCCATTAATCTATGTTTCATCATTTGGCTCAGAAATACCTTCTTCCATCTTCAATTATATTAAATAAATATAAATCTTAATAAAAATATATTAAATAAAAAAATCAATGGCGTTAAACAAAATATCGAGTCGAATCGCACGGAACGACCCAGGGAGATGTTGTGATATTGAGACATTTGATAAACCGTGTTTATATATAGATAACCATGCGAATATATAGATAAGACGTTGATCTTATCGTGAACTTATTACGAATGGCGTTGAATGCCACCTTACCGTTCTGTTCCATACGTACGTGTAATGTCCAACCTACTTTTGTCTATCATATCTGCTTTGAATTGGGTAAAAAGTACTAGCGAATACTATTTGCGCTAAATAAAATGCTAATAGACAATAGTGAGGTGTGAAAAGTTCTAATTCTTCAAATCTAGCATAAACGTCTACTTCCTTTTCAACGAGCGACTTTATTATTATTATTATTATTATAGGTCTCTATATGAAACTTAGTATTGAAATATGATGAGGGATGGGTATGATACAAAGAAACATTTCTACCCGCTCGACCTCTCACGTAGCCATTCCCTAAACATGCCGTTAGAGGTGCCCTTAATATCTACACTATATCAGTTGATCTCTCTGTAACTATATATCTTCTATCTGATGCGCAACATCTAACGCATACGCGCGTACTCGAAATGTGCTTGATTTCGACGCTCATACTATTAGCGCACAGACGAACTCCATAGGGCCCATGTTTTGCCGTGGTCAATATCAAATGCTAACAGTGTGCATGCCGCTGCTTCTACGTTTTGTGGAACGATGTTCAGCATTAACGTCGTCAATTATCTGTGCCTTTGCGAAATCGAATGTTTCAATGCAGAGGATCTGCCGGGATTCGTTCGCGTCTCCGGTTCCGGAGTTGCTTCAGTCACTGTAGTTGTGTGGGTGACGGGTCGGAGATGATGGCAGCTCGCCAAAAAGTACGTGAATTACTTGTTTAGTCTATATTGTATTTACCTAAGCCACGCCTGTCATTAGAGCACAGTACATAATACAATACACACGGGTATAGGTTGAATAATCTGCTGTCACTTGGAGATTCTCTAGAAATTTTTCTTCATAATATGCTTTTGACTAACAAGTGACCTCCAAGACGACCTTCATTAAGCGTTGGATACGTATGCGTCAATCTTCGTACACGTCTATTAAATAAGATTAAGATTAAAAGCGATTATGTTTGCGTTGAGGTTTGCCTATCGTAGTCAGACGTTTTATACTGTAACTTATACTCAAGTTAAATGAGTCTGTTGATTAAATACCAACACAGATGCCACCGTGTTAGGTACTATCCAAGATATGGCCGTAGACCCTTAGCCTTTGAAAAAACCTTATCAAATCCATAAGATGTCTTTTTTCAAAAATTGAAACAACATAACTTGCCTTTGGGAGGGCCCAACCTATAGTCTACACTATTGTCGAAGGAGCGGCTTGTCTTCTCACAAGCCTTAGCATCCTTTAGTTCAAGAAGCAAAAATTCCGTTGACGTGAATTAAATGCATCGTAGATAATTAGTCGTCGTGCTTCTTTAGTGTGCAGAAAAATTTTAAACTAAATATTGGATTTTTGTTTGAACTTAGTAGTTTTACATATTTTTGAGTTCGCCTTTCGATGATTTCGAAAAGGAAGTAGCAACTGAAAGCCTATTTCGTAGAAATAAATTATTTCGCCTGATGGCGTATCGATTTTCAGGATGAACGTATCCCGGTTTATCTCAGGATACGGCCATGTACCGACGGTGTCAACCGCTGCCTCCGCGTCATTGATGCTGCCTCGATGGAAGTACATGCTCGTGAGTTTTAAATATCTTTTGTCCGCTGGAAACAGTTGATCAGTTACCGCATCGACTGACTAATATGTTTGCACACCAACGTAATTGAATATACGAAATTGACTTTGTCATATGTTTTAAGAGCTAAGCCAATTTGACTTCATGTTTGTACGAAACCCGAACATGATTCAACACATATGTTAGATCAAAATCGAATCTATAAGCTGTTGCGGTGTGCTTGTTTTAGCGAACGCGCCAGGCATCGTACACCGTGGCGAGTACAGCCATATTTTTCATGAGAAAGCAAGTCAGCATGAGGTCTTCCTGAAGAGCGCTCTTCCATTAGTAGATGGCATGGTTTATCATCAACGAGATGCGTTGCTGATTGCATATGGCGCTTCCGGGTCAGGTAAAACCCACACAGTTAGCGGAACGATTTCACGTAAGTAGACGATGTTTTAAACGATTTTGTTTGTGAGGAACGAGAAGCTCACGTACTTTCAGTTTGCCCGTTAACAGTATTCTGTCAACCTGTATTTATTTATTATCGAATTTTCCCAATTTCATATCCTACTTACGATTAGCGCTACTAAAATACACTTTCTCTGAACATTAAATAGGGTACACATGACAGTGAAACTTTTCACTAGCTTTCCTGCACAGCCTTTTGTCCACAACCAGGTAATACGAGTAGGATCAGGCACACAAAGGCTGACGCTAATTCGGATGAAGGAGTGCTCTCTCAAGCTATAAGGCACATATTTAAGTGCACCGAGGCCTGCAATCAGCTCTCGAACGTAAGTCGTTTCCCGATGAGTAAACATAGGCTTGCTTTTTATATTTGAGTTTTTGTTACTACGTAAAGCCATAGCATCCATTCAAGATTTTTTTAAATGGCTCAGTGACCTCATACATCTGGATCGCCACGCCATCTTTCATAGATTTCATTGGTTTGTAGTATATAATACTAAGGATCTTACAGGGTGATAATTTCCGTAAATGCATACACGCTCCCGCAGTGCGCATGAAACTTGTCTATTGAGACCACTACTTACGACATCAAATAGTTAACTTTAAGTTCGCTATGCTATGTATAAAGGAACAGTCAAATTTAATTCTACTACGTTAGTTTCCTCTTTCGCTGGTACTTCGCGATATGGTCGATATGCATACAGACAGACCCTATAGGAGGTGAACGAGCATTATCTATTACTTTCGCATGGATGTAGTGATAGACTATGTCTGTCTCATTACACATCTTTTATATCCTATGGTTATTATTCTATTACTTAGTGGATGCCGCGCCGTATCATTTTTTCCTTCAGAAGTAACTCTAATCACCCCCTATTTAATCTGATTGGTATCCAATTAGGTTCGCCCAACGAACTTCGCTGACCTGACCTTCATCACGGCTGAGAAAGTCAAGTCCTTCGAAGTGGCATCAGAGGCGCCTAGCGGCCCCAGCAAAAAAAGCAAACGGGACAGCTGCGGCATTTGGCTCTCAGTAATACAAGTGTACAATGAAGTTGTCACGGATCTTCTTGATCAGGGAAAGCCAAAAGCACTTTCGCTTGCTCAGGTTAGAGTTGTAGACAACATATTACAGTGTCAGATATTTTACTACATTTTATATATCTGCATCTATCTGTTTCATATTACTCGGCTTCTGCCAGTGGGTATTATTTCTTGCTCACACGAGTGCATTCTCGGTAGCTTAGCAATTCTACCCATTGGGACCCACAAATATTAGTTTGTGTCTAAGTACAAGGTTTTAGCATAAATTAAGACAAAACTAATGTCGTATAAATTAAAACGAGTATTTTAATAAGGTTTATTGCATGTGACGACGAAAACATTTCTCACTAAGATGTTTTAATTCGATGAAATTGCTCTTCGCACAAGGCGTTTCCTGAAATTAGTTATTTTAAATTGTTAATAGCTTTCTCATGGTAACTGTGACCGAATCGATGCTGGTGCGTATGTACCCGCTGAAGTCAGACATAAAATATTCTGCGCGGTCAAGTTTTTTGTTGACAGTGGGCAAACAATCCAAGGACACGAAAGAACTCTAAAAAGGTGCAATAAACGTAAAAGATCGAACAAAGATTGACTGCTGGGTTATTTCAACAACTTAGCTGCAACAGATCCTTATATCCACACTCTCATAAAAATTGCTTATACTCTCATTTTGGCTAATTTTCGATTATGCCTTTTAAATATAATCCCTATTGAAGACCTTCTATTTTACACCATAGATTCCAAATCTCTCGTACATATTGGGATAAAACATACGGCTAGTTATATTTCAGTTCAATGAAACAAATCCTATTATCGCGGTGCCACTACCGATCGGAACAGCTAAAAGGAATGTTTTTTATCGATTGGATAGAAGCGCTCACTAAGGACTGACTCATTCGACAGAAATCGAACATGAGGCATTTGATGTTCTGATTCAACTTCAATCGTACCTCTATGATACACTTTGGTACTGCATATATTGCATTTGTGAGACTTACCCTTGTGCTTATCCTGTGTATAGCATTATTAGTGCAGTGCCCAAAGATATTAGTAAACAACAGCATCTTTATAAAGATAACTCCTTTAAAAAAGCAGGATGCCCATAGGAACAGCTATAATATTATATTGATTACATTTTCAATAACAGAATTCCGTCACATGGAATTTCAAATCCGATCAGGCCCCTTCAAACAGGTTCTCCCAGTTCCCTTACACAATCACTTCCAATACAAGCAATACGCTGAGTAGTCGGGACTGTTGGATCAACCAACAGAAAATTATTACTATTACTATTGTTATGCCGATTTTTGCAGGACGCTAACGGACGTTGCTTCGTTCGTGACGCCTCATGGCATAAGGTAGACTCCGACGATATGGCCTTTGCTCTTTTAACCGACGCTAGGTGTAAACAAAAAGTAGCTAGCACAAAGCTAAACGATAGGTCATCGAGATCTCACTTTATCACGTTCATCAAGATTATTCGCAACATCGGTAACGACTTTAAGGTAAACCAGCTGGTGATCGCCGACCTAGCTGGTAAGCACTGATAACAAATTATCAATTTAACACTTTTCTTTTTTAGATTCAATGTAACAACGTGCAGCATTTATGTGTCGTTGATGCAATTGAAAGCACCGATCCATGCAGTGCCTCGGTATGAAGTTATGGGCTGGTGAATAGAATCTTCCTTAGACACTTTCTTTTCCATTTCTGAAATAAAACTTATGCCTTGCTTATGTCTATTGGTACTACAAATTGGCGAAAAAAATACTATTCGAACCCATGACATTTACATGCATCACAAGACTTGCTATGTCTGAATCGTACCAGGCAACGAGCGATCAAAGGCTTCAGGAGGGACCGGTAACGTTCTCCGCCAAGCAGGGTTCATCAACTGCTCCCTGTTGGTTTTGGGTCGCTGCGTGGACGCAATTCGACGGGGATTGCGCAACATACCATATCGCGACTCGAAATTAACACGCCTCTTAAGCCCCTTTCTTGCCGGTAAAGGTTCTCTTCTGTCATTAATTGTCTGCGTGAACCCGCACAAAGACCGCGTTGACGACACTCTTGCAACCTTAAAGGTCAGGGTTGTTAGTTTTTAGTCTTTGCGTTAATGTTCTTAATGCTTTAGAACTCGACGTCTGTGATGCGCTACTACGCAACCATTCTGAAAGCGGCCCTGTCGTTAATTTGGCTGTTACCTAATGTAACGCAAATTTAATTCGAACCCAATGAAGCATAACTCTAACAAAATAAATTTTTTTTTCCCTCTTTTTGAGAAAGCTTTACAGCGTGTATTATATGTATTTGTATAGACATACACATGCTTACTCTACTCGAGCGGATTTACACACAGCGGCCCAGTCGTAGGACCCATGATGCATCAGTTTTGCTATTAGGTTGGAGCCAAAAGATCTGACCCATTAGCTACCGCAACAGACCAAACTAGCCGTCTAGAGAATACAGTAATTTCAACCGAACGGATTTTGCTACCAACATCAATCGCAAACTGCATCATTACATTTTATATTTGTTCATACCTAATTCTACCCAGATAGGCCGAAATGTGGTCACGATTCGTCAGCACATAAGTAGGCCACAATCTGTGTCGATCATAAGCAGCAGTGCAAGAACTAGTCCTTAACATGAACGAAGTATAATCATATCAAAGGTCAGCATGCTTGTTGTAAAACACAATGTCCAATTGAAAATGATGGTGGACAAAGTTAATGTGACTGGCTCAAGACAGCGATTCATTTTTACCGAACTTGACGAAGATTTTAGGCTCATTATGGCCTCAGATCACTCAAAATGCACGGACAAACATGACAGAGCGCGCAAGAGCCCCCGCGTGACGAAAGCAACATCCTGCCGTGAAAAATCGCATGAAAGTTAGAACTCTGAGAACACGGAAATGCTTGGAAGGTGACCACAGGATAAATAATACTATCAATAATCGCCGGTACTACAAAGCCCGCATATGCGCAGATAACAACAACATAGTTATGATCGAGCTAATTCTGAAAACTCTTATACGTTCGACCCACAGATAATCCCGCGGATATCCAGATACGGCATAATAGCACTGACAGAAATACCATCATATGCCATGTAGTTAAATCTCGGCGATATGGGAATAAGACTTGACAGTGGCACCAAGGCCTACGAAGACAATTAACTAATGAATTTTAAATATGACGTCGTAAAATCGTCGACCGAGAACTTGGACAAGATCGACAAGATAATCAACTGATAAGCATAAAGATAATGTCCTAAAAACGATGGTGATCATTGAGCCACTTAAACGACATCACAAAAAAAAAAACGATAATCAAAAGCATTTCCTAGTTTTAGTACTAGTCCGAAACACCCGATGGTAGAAATCTCCGTCAAGGTTATCGTTCAAGGAAAAATCGTAACCGAGACAATCGTCCGTCAAACTAACTATCAGAAACTTGAAATCCCCATACGCGCGGTGCAAGCGACAAGATCATACGGCGAAAATATGTTTTAAAGAAAGCGTCTCAGCAACCATAAAGGACGCAAACTAAGCATACGATGCAGCGGCACACAACGTTGAAGTGATATGGTATGATTCAGAAGATAGCGATGCACACACGCTAGACTCCAGCACACACTCAATAGCAAACGACATTGGCTAGTTCGCCGCCTAGGAACAACTTGCCAAATGACGGTCGGTACAGTAGAAACCTAAATGAAAACCTGAAAAACGTGATCCTGGCACGATAGCGCTTAGCATGTGCTAACAGCGACCTTTCAAACTGTACAGCGGACGATGTTTTCCATGTAACTCAACGTTCTGAAACTTGCTTTCGTTCGTTCGTTCGCTCGCTCAATTAATGGAAAAAAAATCGGTGAATTGAAACCGACGAAGAAAACTTCATCCTACTAAAGGGTGACAACCGCATTGAGGTCGACTGCGATGCGAGCCCACCCACGATCCAAAATGCAAAAGATGGCGAATGCGGCATAAAATGCAGCCGTTGAAGTGGAAATCATAAGTACCAAAAACGGTCGGTCACATAAACAGTCAGAGACTCATAAAGATCCTGAAGCATAAAAACATCAATTTTGTGAATGATTAACAATATTGCTCCGCATATTATCAATCCAGGCTACACCAAACATAACGTCATCGACGAAGGTTTTAGAATTAGTACATGGGCACGCATTGATCGGTCCAATATGAATTTTTTTATTGCTGGGAAGAAATATATGCTTTATGTACACAACCGACGAAGTCTCGAACTTTAGGCTCATCTATTTTCTAACTCAAGATTCAATCAAATACATGAAAAACATGACCGGAAAATTTTTTAAGAAGCCTTTCGGCAGATGAGTTCCCAATGCCACACCTCGCCGCGCACTTGGGGACGTCAGAGCAAAACCGCTAACATCGAATCTTCAAAAATTGTGGCTAAAGGGAAGAGCCAAAAATCTCAATCATGATCTTACCAAGCTCACTAACCCAACACTTATTGTGTTTGTGGGGCGCTATATATTATATATATATTACCATCAAGTCATCATCCCAATTAACAAGGAATCATCTGAAATGATCTACGATACAAAGCTACAACTGAATAAGATTCCACGTCATTGGATCAAGGTACTATTTAGTTCATCCGGCCGAGAGAAACTCCACTCTAGAGGAAAAAGCAACCGAATTACGGGCTATCGTGCTTGGATTCGAAAAAACACAAGATGACGCCATCAAACGATATCATCTTTGAAAAGGACTCGTCAAGAGTTAAACACCAGGCGAAGATTTCAGTAGGTTAGTTAGCATAAAATAATCAGCATAGTCTAGCTAACGACAAAACAAAACACAGCGAAGAGACCCAGTCGAACTCCGAAGGAAACAGCAACATTGTGGAAGGAAAAGTGAACCAACACGAGAAGGAACAATAAAACGGACTAGAGGAGACTGAATCGAAAGATAGATCAAAAGTAACAAAATCGATTAATTTCAAGTCCTACTCGACTGAAGACCTTACCAATGTAAAGGAGACGCTAATTTGGAACGGAGAAACACAATGAGAGCCGCATACAATCTGTACAAGCATACAATCTGGAACCACCAAATCCAGTTGAACTACCACGGCGCAAGCCAGTGAAAAATGCATATTTCGACTAAAACGTTGCGCGAAGCTTTATTCAGACAGCCGAAGAATATTTCTTTACGCAAAAGTGTTATATATGCGACCATCCCAAGATTCGAAAGAACGCGCACTATTTCAGCCACAAGAACCTACGAAAAACGACAGCGTAGAGGAATGCCCGTAGAAAGCTTTTGTTTGAGCAGTCCATTTTCTGAGATGGTATACTTTACTCGCCTCACAGTATACAAGGAGAACAATGGCCCATACTGCAAAGAATATAAAGCTATTTTAGGTTGTCCATCAGTTCGTATATTGCTTCTCTAAGAAGCTCTAGGAAGCATTGATGTGTTCTGGCCTGGCATAAAGTTTAAAAGACAAAAGTTTCTGTTTTTCGTGCAAACATAGACCCACTTTTTTCTAGTTACGTTGGCGATACGCTAATTGCAGGCGATAAACAAGAAGCAATCGGATTAAATCGATTCGAATTTCTTATTTTTAACAAATACTATATTAGAGCACCTTCGACCATATGCGGTGCAAAAAGAACTGTTAGTTACAAGAGAAACCATCTATTATCTCGTATGTTTAAAGCCACTACGTTCTAAACATGTGCAATTAGGCCCAGAGTGAAGGCAAAGAGAAGACATTTTGAATAACTGTGAATCTTAATAATGCGCCTGAATAATAATGCGTTCGTAGGCTTTCAAGAAAGCTCTGCAGAGCTTATAAGGACTTCACCTATACACATCTAAAATTAGACGAGAGGCCATACACATGCCTGACATGAATAATCGCGAGCGCTGTTTTCGTGACTTTGCTCATGTAGTGCATATCACATATTCGCATGCACACTTATATGCATACTTACTTTACTCGGGTAGATTTACTTACAACAGTTATCGAACTTACGATGTATTGACCTAGCCACGCGGTGGAAAGGTCGATAGCCGAAAGAGCAAATCTACAAGCAAGTTTACAAGGGCCCTCCGTAAGTGACTCAACTTTTGCCATGACAGGCTAAAAGTTATTCAGTTATATGCATCTGCTATATATATATATAGCTGACTGAGCCAAGGCGTTTTCACTACTCTCAAGTACGTCACAAACTCCTTATGAGTATTTGCCTAGATAAAGATAGGAAGTAACAAGGAAAAAAAAACGCAGAACTATGAAGACGTATCGATTTGAAAGACCTTCAGAAGGGGAACGTGCTTCATGCGTTAAGTTATGCCATGAGCCATATAATATGATCAATAATAAAAATACTAAAATAATTGAAAAACCAGTGCGAGAGTTAACAGCCAAATCTACTCAAGGCGCTAGGTTCAATAAAGCATATTTTGACAGATTTTTATAGTTTCTTCTTCATAATGTAATATATTTTCAGGATTTGAGAAATGTTAGAAGACTATAATTTGTACAACTTGAATACATCTTTCTTGTAACAGTTTTCAGCGCTGGCTTCAGAGCTCACTCAACCAGCCGAGGTGGTCAAAAGGTTCCAGGAGACTCGTCGAAAATCAGCACATGCCGCCACCTTTTTGCCGGCTGTAGATCCTGAACCAGGAGCGCAACCCATTCAACAGGATGTGGTCACCTTACCAGTACACATTTTCCAGGAAATGCAGCATGGCCTGGAAATGTTAGTACAGCTGAAAGTAGTTATAGTCGAAAGCATGGCTTTTCTAAAACACCTTTTCTTTTCCTTTATACATTTCGAGTTAGAGCCTTCTTCGCACTAGCAAGCAGTAGAAATATTTCTGTATTGTTTCAATCAAGCAGAAGATTGGAGTTAGTTGCAGTAGCATTTAACTTAGTTTTGTAATCATTGCAAGTAGAACATAGTTCGTAGAATTTAAAATAGATAGAAAACTTTAGAGTCTATTTCTATAATATATGTAATTTGATTGGCAGGGGTGAAAGTCTAGCGCGCGAGAATGAGGAAATTCGAAGAAGTCTTCAGCTTCGTGAGGAGGCTTTGGAAAATAGTCGACTTATGCATGAAGACCGATTAACAGCTCTGCGAGCGGAGTATCACTCTGAAGTACGAAAGATTCGCGAGGAACATCGTGAAGCCCGCGAGGTAATCGAAACTGAGCTAAGACAACACTGTATTGAGCTCGAGGCGAAATGCGCGAAATACAAGTGAGTTTCTCTTAATACCAATGAATATTATATTACAGCGGGCTTAAATCATTCATAATAATATTACTCAGTCAACATGCTTCTACGATAAGCCTGCCGAACGTGGAAGTTCCATTTAATCAATACAAAGAAATATTTCGCATTTTTCACTAGCTCTTTATTACGGAGGATGAAATAAATGAAATTGAAAGTCTGACACGGGTGGCAACACGCATGCCAGTATCTAGGCACTCAGACAACGACAAACACGATTAAAGAACCTATTGTGTGACTTCTGCAGGAAGCAGGCGGGTTTGCTGGCAGAAGTCTGCAAGAAGCGGTTGTACCCAGAGCTTGACAGATATCGAGCTCTCTATGGCTCCTTAGAGGAATTTCCTCCGATGCAAGAGGAGGATCTTGCAAAGTACGGAAAAACGTCTGACCCAGTCAAACACGTTCTTGAATGCTCGCGCTGCTGTCTCCTTCAGGTACAACTAGATGACACGTCGCGTCAACTACAGACCAAGGTAAATATCTATACGTATATATTGTGAGTTTTTACAGCGAAAAACCACTCAAACTAGTTGTAAAACTCCTAATAAAAGTACGCTTCATAACACCAACTCGCAGGAGAAACGACAAATAGCTTAGTACTTCAAATAAGGAAGCGGTTTGTATCTTTCCAAGCAATGTTCCCACTGCAGAGCTATGCCACTAATTTCAAAGCAAACAAGCAGAGCAAGTTTTGGTATTTTTCCTTTATATTATGGTTGAATATATGTATTGATGTGCATATACTTTTTTCAAACGCCCTCCGTATTTATTCTAATTTATATAGTTCACTATGTCATTGATTAAATGCGCATATTTGCAATCCGTAGATCCATGAAAGCGAGCGTATGGTTGAAGAGCTACGTTCAGAGAGAGAGCTTCGCGTACTCCTGCAAGAGAAAACGCGAGGATATCAAACAATGTCTTCTCAGATTTGGTCCACAACAATGGAATACACTTGCCGCTCGCGTTCAGCTTCACGAGGCCGTATCGAGCCGCCCTCGTCAGGATACATTGACTCGGGACACATGTTGGACCAAAAAATGCCGCCTGAGGAGTCCGAGTCAGGACGACTAATGGACGAACTTCGCGAGAGATTAATTCAGCAGATAGCCTTAACAGAACAGCTCGAGATTGCATCACGTGATCGCATCGCTGAAATCACAAACGAGCTCAAGAAAGAGCGCATGGAACGGCGCCTTATCGAGATGACAAGAGATCAGCTAGCCAGCAGACTTGATGTATGTGCTTTTCAGTGAAGATTTTATATGATATATGTAAACCTGAACAGAAGTTAACTTACAAAAATAGAGGGATGAATGATATGACGTGGTAGCGTACCCTAGATAGAAGCAATTACCATTGTTGTAATAAAATTCGAAATCTAAAAGACATAAACAAAAAGCATAGTAAATAAATGCGTTAAGACATGAATAAGAAAATAGAAAAGAAGTTCGAAATTATACAACGCTCAGTTGAGTTCTAGTTAATGTCCAATCCAGAGAAATGATTTTCACCTGACCACAAAAACAAAATTTTTTGGTTTTTACAGGAAGCTCTATGCAGTCTTGGATGTGACCGCTGCAAGCAGATTATGCGTCTACGAGAAGTACCACAAACGGCCCCAACACGCCATGTTGTTAGATATCGCACGCCAAAAGTAGCCGTTCGTGAGAGTAAGCTAACCTATACGCCTGTTTTCCGACGGCCATCAGCGACATCAACCACAAGTGGGGCGGATTCACCAAGCATTAATCGAAATATACGTCAGCGACGACTTGTGGTCGGCGATTCGGATTGAACTTGCAACTCGACGGCGAGCTATTAGGCCGAATGACGAAATTAAATGCGGTTTCACTGCGTCCAAAGATCCAAAACAGAGCCACAGTGGCGCGTTGGTGTATTAAAACGGTTCGAAACAGTTACCTTGCACATTTTGTTCACCAATAATCTCTTCAAAAGAGCAATTTATATTTGTATATTATTTGTAAATTGTATGCAAGTGTGTATATATGCGTCTTCACTGTCAAGTAAAGTGGTATTACTACTAATTATGGGTAACAAAATTAGCCCTATTTTAATTTGGATTGTTACGAGTTCATGCGAAATCAAAACGATTATATAGTTAGCGTGACCCAATCGAAGTAAACGAAAATCCAACATTGAGCAATGCGCCAATCTAAGCGGTTTTTTTCTGACCACCTTTGCAACTCTGCACAGACAGAAGCAGAGCGCTTTAGCAGCGTTCCAAAACGACGGAAATCACGTCAGGCGGGTTGTGATAACAAAAATTCGCTGGCATTACAATGTCATTTAGTACATTTCTATGACATCAGTACGCCACTTAGCTTTTGGTATAAAGCGAAGCATGAGTCACTAACTAGATATTTAGATTAAGCTCCTTAGGTGCCAGCCTAATTGTCACAAACTAAAGCATGTAGCAAGCTCTAAATTTTAGTCGACATGTCTGAAAGTGCGTTTCGACTGAAATTCATAATGTTTGAATGTAATATATTGTTGGTGTGAAGATGTACTCTCAAATGACTAGTAATTATCTGATGTAATGCTACGAACTAATAGTAGATGTCAAAACATCTCAAAAGGGTAAAACACGAAACGAATGATAAAGCGCGCTTTTTTTTTTTTAATTTACTTGTAAGACCTAGCGATACGTTGGCTGATAAAGAGACATGAGAAATATATTGTTGTTAGCAAATTAGAGCGTTTCCTTAAATAATAAAAATTTCACCATGTTAGCATAGGTCCGTTGCCCTGATACTCACTGTATACACACATTTCGGTGTATACAACGCCTCTATTATAGTCTTTGCTGTTTCCACCATGTTTTAGCTCTACAGTAACTTGATGATACAAGTAGAGGTAAAGGTCACCTATGAAAGAGCAGCATTTTACAGTCAGGAACGATTCTTCCACGTAACGGAGCCACTTCACAGCAATAGGCATTGTAGAGTGAGCAAATAGTCTAGTTGACAGACACGTCTAAGTGGTGCACGTACCCTTAGATAAGGTGTATTAGTTAACGAAACTGCAAGTAACTGCACGCCTGATGACGAATAAATCACAACAAAGCATCGTTAAAAAATGTAAATAGTAAGCTGAAATAGTATATTCCATTAATCCCAGTCACTAATCGACACAAAAATAACATTTATGCTTAAGTTAATTCGCGTAGGAAGTGAATTTTCCTATATTCAATATCTACTCACGTTCAGGAAATAATAATTACTGTCAGAAACTTAAAAAACCCAAATATTCGCCTATGTCCATGTTTATCGAACCTATAATCTACACGACTTCGGAGGGACCACGAGGTAATAAAAACGATAGTAAAAATAGAGTAATAAATCATAATTAACTACAGTAAAATAAACAGAAAATATGGTTAGTATTTATTTTTCTATTTGTCATTAAAAATATAATTACATGTAAATATTGTACAGTGCATGCAGCAAAAGGTATCTGCGTAACCCCTAGCTGTTTTTCGACAATTATCACATCGTTGAACATATCTTTGTAGAAGCGATTATGGCTGGCTACAAATCATTTCTGTTAGTTCAATAACGCCGTTCTTTCATATTTTCATCATGTGCCACTAGGTACATTAGTCCGCTGGTAGCGCAGTGACTTCAACAAGTGCCCGAAATTCCTGCGGCAGATTAACGAATAGATTTTCTTGCAGGGTCAGAGGCAATACTGGTGGAATAGCCTTTGCGAGAGCGGCCCCGTCAACTGCCGGCAATTCTTGAGTCGAAGTGACTTTTTCCTATAGAAAAACAAACGCAAATCAATGATTTAACAGTTGTAACATACGCTTATTTTTGTTTGTGTTACTGAAGTGAATCAGAAAAAAACATGTTTGTAGGTGGCACTGTTGCTGTGGCGCTTTGGGTGCTAAAATGACGTCGGCCAACTAAGACGTTTTTGGTTTTCCCATTTATTAGAACGGCATAAGCAATTCAAGGTTATAACGTAAAACTTACAACGAGAAGCTCAGTGAATGTGTAATCTAGTTATAGCCTTTTTGAAATAAAACTTTATATTAAACAATAACAAAACACTGAGAATTTTACTAAGGAGAAGCTGGTGGAACATAAACATGTACAGACTAATAAGACTTGGACTTGCGGATTTGTCAACCGAATTAAATCGCCTCTTTTTTCTTTTCGGGGGCCAGCTGCCTGAGATGACGCTCGAAAAGGGATGCAAAATTTTGAAACATTTACTTAGATTATTTTTGGCTTAAATCCTGCCATACAGCTGCCGTATTTAAGTTCCACTGTTTGCTTACCTTGTAGACACATTCGTTTTCATAGCGTCGTCTTTTATGGGTTATTTGGGCATTCTTGTACATTTCCCTCCAGTGTGACCCCAAAACAACTATCGTAATATTTTCTGCTTGTTTACTTGCAGCTCTGAATGCTGCCATGGCAAGGTCCAATCGAGCCAGTTCGTCGCTCACTCGACAGTCTTTTCCATCCTGATCGGCCTAGGTGGTAAAAATATCGAACAAATCTTTGAAAAAATCCAAACTACTTAAAGAAACCAACAATTTTTTTGATAAAAGAAAAATCTGGACTGTTTTTCCAGTTATTGGTCGTTGAATAGAATGTATATCGTGCGATTAATTATAGAACGTACCTGATGGAACTGTGTGGCGCCCCGAAAGGCTGCTTCTTTAAACTGCATTACATAAGCCCACTGGTAACTGCAAGGATGCTCCTTCTTCATATGCTTCCATGCCGTTTCGTACAACTCCGTGGCGCGCTGCGCCAATCGAGCTAGGACACTAGAAGCCTTATTGTCCTGTGAATAGTAAGTGGAACAAAATGACTTTTTTTTTTTAAATTTTTTGCCTACAATCAGTATTACACAGCGAATCGTAATATTGACTTGTCGAGAAAATGTTAACCGGTTTCTAGGTAGATGGCTCCAAAGCCGCAGATCTCAGATAATGTGAGTAATTTTGGATCAGTGTTAATATCATTTAAAGGCTGAGATTTGACAGTAATAGATGTGTTGTCGTGCCATAGCAGTTGTTGTGCCTTTGTGCAGACTTAGAATAGAGGGTTCTGAAGATCAGTGGAATTTCCACAAAAAAAATTTGCTATACTTTACAATTTTATTACGGTTACACAGTTCACAATTTATGATCCAGAAGCGTTATTGGAAAGAATAACCCAATCATAGTTCTGTCGCTTTTGCTCCGGAAACTCCGGAAACATGCCTATTGTATTGGACGACCAACTACCAGAGAACCTAATAAAATCGTACACTTGAGTAGCCACGATATTGCCAAAGATTAAACATTCACTACTGAAGAGGTAAATCATTTGAGGAAAGCTATAAAAAACCTCATTATTCGAGGGCCACACGAATTGATGCAAAATAATTTATACGATCGTATTTCGATTGTGTGAAAATTCACAGGAACGCAATGAAATCAAATCATTTCTCAAACTATTGATCACAAACAACGAAAAGATAATATTGTGCAAATGTAGAAAAAAAATATATATATATATAAATACCTTAAAATCTGTGGCAAACTCCAGACTGACACTAAAGAAGGTGACGCTATGTGTTTGGTGGATTGGAAAGAAATCGGGCAATATGAGTTACCGTCGCTCGGCAGAACGACTGATTCCGACGTTTACTGTCAACAACTAAAAGGGTCATTGAAAAAAGCCATTGAAAAAAGTCGAACGGAATTAATGAACAGAAAAATGCTGTCGTTCGGCACTGTGAGAACGACAGACCATATACATCTTACACTAGCCGGCAAAGACTCAGAGAACTTGGATGGGAAACTTCATTGCATTTGCATTATAGTCCGGATTCTGCACTATAAAATCATAATCTGTTTGCAAAACTTAATCATGTTAACTTAGCTTCAATAGAGCAATGACAAAATCACTTGTCACAATTTTTTGCCCAGAGACCACAATGTTCTACGGTGATCCATATTTATTTTTGGAATATTATTTTAAAATTTAGAAAATATTTACTTCAATTTCATCTTGGAAATTTTCAAGACTTCTTAGACAACAGTACATATGTACTGTTGTCAATTGTCTATATATATATATATAACATTGCAACATAGAATGATGCCATATTGTAATTAGAAATTAAATTATGCGAGTTAAAATATTGTTTGTATTTTCAACGTTAGCTAATATACACTTCGTTATTGTAGGTACCTGCAATGCCTTAAGATAGAAGCACTCTTGCGCCTGTGCCAGGCAAAGATTCTCAAGCGCTTGAAGCGTTCCAATATGCAAGTCAGTTGTGACACCCTCCACTGTGGATACCGAACTCGCGTGACGAATGTATTGGAATATACCCGCACTTCTCTGAAACAGCTTTGCCGCATTTCGTAGACCCTCTTCTTCATTTGGATTGCCCTTACCTGCTGCGTGCTGTGACAGATATGCTGCCAGATTGAAAAACAAACATATTTTCTCGAACGATATTGTTGATTGGGTAAACAACGTGTAGAAAGTTATGATTGTGCCATTGCTAAAAGCATTTTTCCATGTGAATGGCACTTGGAGATGTTGTTTCGGAATGGCCTCTTCGAGGTAATTCAACTGATCAATATAGCGAGACAACGCCTCTTCCAGAGAAAGACCGCTAGCTAGCCTTTGGTGTCCTGAAACGTTGCAAGAGAAGATCATGCAAATAACACTTACAATAAGCTCCTTTATTTTAGAGTTCTTAAACATAGCCAATGGTATTTATGGGTTTCATACAATAATACAAGTGCTCCTCGACTTCTACCACATTTATGTTGTAGGCCTTAAATAAAAATTTTTTTGAGTAACCAGTAATTTATCCAAAAAAAATTTTCGAAAATTCGAAAAAAAGCAAATTCGAAGAACTGTTCGTACGTTCGTTTTGAATAAATATAACAAACAAGGAGGAATAAAGAGGCACTGCACAAAGTACCATATAATAGACTGATGTATAAACACTAATTAATGTAATAATAACACACGTTTCCATCACAAGATATAACGGAAATTACAGTTTCAAAATGTATGCTAATGGAACATACTATGCTTGAAATTTGACACAGCAGTTGCAGGACGCGAACATGTACAAATACATTGAATATTTTTAGGTTCTGATCTTAATTATGCTTGGCTTTCTGCAGTAGAGACAAGAGTGATGGAGATACCCATGACATATAAAAAAAAGCCTATACAATACACGATTCACGGATTGTTGATTTAGCTAACATTGCCAACGTTAGTTAAAGTTCGACTTGCAAAAAGCATCTAGAGGGTTAAAGGAGTGTCTCTAGGTCGAACGGAAATATAGAGACATGTAATTGAGCTCAAAAGCTCCTGCAAGATATAAGTGTCAGTAACTCTCTTAATTGAAATTTAATTGTGAATTTTAATACCGAAATATTAAACAGAGAACACGTCACCTCAATCTCCATTTGAAGCAGCAATCAGGCTTTTTAGTTAGAGACAAGCCTGAGAGAACTATATGGAGCGAGGCTAACAGCTTAAGCTAGCTGATTTCAACGATTTATAGCTTTGCCTGTTATTACTTAACGTTCATCGAACAGGCTATAAATAAACAACCCATAAGAAAATAGAGATATATATTTCAATGAAAACTTAACGCATGTAAAATCTGAACTAGTACACATAATAAAAGAAACTTAAGAAGTCACGCGATAATGAGCTACCCATCAAAACATAGTGTTAGGCCTTCCGTGCTCGCCTGATTATTCAAAATGTAAGTTGAAGTGGCAAGTAGTTTTTTTGGCATTAAAACTAATACACTGAAAATATTTTCGGAAGATTTATACAGTGTCCAACACGCCCATATAGAATGATAGTAAATAATTCAAACTGTTAATACTGCTGCAATAATTAATTCGCTTTTGGATCGAAAAATTAACTATTCGTTTCCATTTTTGATATAAAGTTGATACATTAGTCTGATTTGATTTCGTTTGCTCATAATCTCATTCATAGTTCATAATAATTCATATAAATGGTAAAGTTGCTAACCTGCATTACATTTAAGAAGACCTCGAGGAAAATTTTAGCAAAGTGTAACGTAGCTGAAAAACTATGTACAATCTAAGTATACATAATTTGGCAAAGTTCGCGCAGGCGCATATACGTAGGCCCAATTAATTGTGTGTTCAGTTATTAATACGCTAGACTATTGTTTCGTCTTAAGAAAACAACATTAGGTTAAAAATATCCAGTAGCTGGATTAACATCTCTCATAGCTTAACATCGTTAACATATCTCTCGGATTTCATACGCTGTGCAACTATGGACGATTTATAAGTGCGCATTATAAGAATATAAAGGACTTGGCTCTAGTGCACACAAAATGTTTGTATACAAAAACATGAAAGGAACGCAAAATGACCGATACCACAGACACAATCTGTGGGGCCTTTATGACGAAGCAGCCACGCAGTAAACATCAGAATAGCTTAGTGCAGCAAATTCACCATACCACTAAACCAAGCTATCAAACACAATAAACACGATCTTCGAAAATAAGCATCAGCGGGCAAGTTTTGATCTGTAACGAGTCTTACCAAATATTACCTATTAGTCATCTACTGACGATGCAGGCAGTTTTGCAGCCAGAACAATTTTTTGCGCACGACACAGGTCTGTAGGCATGCAACACGCAATTGCGAATCAAAGGTACACACCTGAAATGGCATCACTGCGAAGGCCATCTAACTTCTTGAGCGAATCCCTAAAATTGTTGCAAACCGTTTCGTCAACCGATGGTGCAAATATATCCCCGAGCTTATCCTGCAGCGACACCGAACCCGTTCGTTTCTCGGGAATAGCCAGGAAACCCGCCATCATACTTCGCTTGGTCAGAATGGCTCCCTCCGCGAGCAGTCTATCTGTCAATCGAAGTTCGTGTTACAAGTGGTCTAAGTAAATTTGCTGGCCACCACCCCTTGCTATCTTTTTCAGCGGTTCGACAGCAGCCACGGAATCAATGGAATACTTAACTAAATATGAATGTTCCGCAGCCATTAGAATCAAACGGGCACACAAAGAAGACGTGTGACGTGTACATACGTACGTACTGAGAACAGAAACAAGACTCTCAAGCTGTGACGATCCTTATATTTCGCTCGATGACTCGTATAGAGGTCTGGTATTATATCCTACTTTGTTTAATGTTCTGATGACGCGCTGTTGTGTAAAGTCAGTCTTTCAACTTTATTCACTGTGGGATACTGCCGCACTCAAAACAACGCCCGAAATGCAATGGCTTACTACATACTTCCAGTCTATAGTATAGCTGGATATGGTAAGAGTAGTGTGATATAGTAACAAATAAAATATAAAAAAACTGCATTAAGTTTCTTCGGAAGATCAACGACTATAATTTCCTGTCCACAATGACACTGATACAACGATAATGACGTGTGATACTAGGTGGCTAAGCAAATGCGCTACAGTTAAACACCTCCTTTGCAATGGAAGCGTGTTTGTTGCAGTGGGCGGCAGCTGACCGTCGCCGTAACAGCTTGCCACGTCCCTGGAAAGAAGGAGATCGAACGCGGCTGAATTGTCGGCTGCAGTGCTGTTTTTGTTGCCATATTGACTGTACAATAGCGATATTAGCAGAAGCAGCAAATAATGATGATTTTAAACAACAAATTGTACGGCCAGAGAAAAACAACGAAACAGGTTAACCGCTGTATAGTTGTGAAATAAGGAGACATTAGCAGAACGAGAAACGCAGGCTGATCGTAACATTAATTGTTAAACATAGGGGGTGAAAAAGGTATTTGTTTGTAAAAGCGTATATCGAAAATTAAGTGAAAGTAAATGTATTACATAAAAAATATAGCTATTTTTTAAATGTAATTAGTTATAGAAAATAATTGTACACTGATTTGACCACTAAAATTCAAGCTGCATTGAAAACGAAGGAACTTGCTTGGCAGTTGCGGAATAGTTAAAGAGATAACCAATATAATAATAATAATAATAATATAAATAATGCAAACCTTCGTAAATCAAAATACGTCAGCTAAGAGGAACTTAATTGGCGTAATACGGTTGCCTATTTATTGTGTTAATAATCAAGTCAATACAGAGGATCCCTAGATTTGTCCGCTGCATTGAATTTGTGAGCGGTTTCAATAATCGGTGCCGGGTGTCCAATTAGCTTGTAGGAAATCGAATTATTTTGCATTGACATACGATGCAGCAAACAACCGACATAACAGGTAGAATAAAATAGCTTCGTTTTATCTACAAGTCTCATATCTATATGCGCAGTGATGGGCTTAAACCAGCAACTTTCGCGACCAGGGACTTTGTACTCAAACATACTCTCTAGGCTCTCTGTCTAAGTATGCATAGTATTGACAAGTAATATGCCCCATTTTTGTAGGCGTACACTCTATCATTCTTGATTCGCTCAACAAATTGTGGCTGCGGCTTCAGCGATTTTGGGTAATGCCTTTTACAGATGGCTATAGAAGTTACGCGTCAGTATTTCTTCTAAGCGTCTAAACCATTCGAAAATCTAATGCGCTCCAGGTAGCGGGAAAGCAATGTAATTCAAATGGTTTAATCCGACTATTATAACTTTTTTGTATTTACTCTAACATAAGGTGCACGTCGATGTGTTTATTATAGTACATATCTACTATAAGATTAGACCTATATTGGGAATATCTTACAGTGATAACGTAATGCACGTGTGGATAATAGTCTAAAAGAAAATTAATAAAACAAAAATTACGAAAGGTAATTTAAAGTATATCTATATATGTATGTATGTTGTCACCTGGTAACAAAGGTTTTCTTGAACTGGCCATTAGTAGTATCTTTTGAAATTGGGAAAGCACGAAACTCATCAATAATAATCTTCATTGCAATTAAAAAAAGATCTTTTGGCCAAGAAATTACTTTAAAATGAAATAAAATAGGTAAGCATCTTATGATCCTGGAATGTGTTTTTTCGCAAGCATCAGACGAGCTATCAAATACCACAGTAAAATTCAATTATATTTGAACATTAGCTAAAGTTGTCAAAGAAAACCTAAACTGAGGAAGAATCTCAAATTCTGAAAAAGAACTAAAAGTATTTTTGCTAAAAAAATTCGAATAATTCTTTTTGTTGATAACAAAAAAAAACTTTTTAATAATTGAAAAAAATTCACACTTCTTTTTTTGTATGGAAAAAATGTTCGTCGAAACTTCGTAAACAATAGTACTTGCAATGGAAACTATTGTTGCATATCAATTGATATACGTTTTGCGATCAAGTTTTGCGACAGGTTTTGTTGACATTCTTTTTTTCATAAACTACGAAACCTGAGTAATCAACCCATGTATAGATATAATTTTCAAATCGTATACAAAAATCTCATAATTCGGTCTAAATTTTTTTTTAATACATTTGCCAATTTCAATAAATATGTGTTTTTTTAATTTGCTGTTTAGCTTCTCGCGTTTCCTAACATTTACATATTTTGGAAAATCGAAGGTGGAATAATAAGCACATTAACAGACAATACGCTTCAACGGCTTGAATAGGCCTATAAGAGGGCTTTAATAGAAAAACAACAATAGGAAAACAAAGACAACAGCATATGGATGACGGCGACAGGGCACCGGGATGATGGGACAACCGCTACGAATTTGGGATCGCAAGCCAACCAAATGAACCCGCTTGACGTTAAACCCCGTTGCGGTATGCCTGTCTTTTATGCATCTAACACGCTAGTGCTTTTACAAGCAACAAGAAGAATTTTGCATTTAGCATCAAGTACTTCACGCAAATACAGTTCGGATCTTTTGTAGAAGCTGTCAAATGCTGGTGGCAGAGTTTGACCGAATTCCATCGAGCCACAGAAGCCAGCTTCGGTATTTTTCATCGATATAAGCCCCAGAGCTAACGCAAACGAAATAAATACATAATCATGCAACGTAACTCACTGAAAACTATAATACTGCAAAATTCCAATTTTTGAACAACTGATGAAAATCTCAAATGAAAACAGGCATATCATATCACTTTCACATTGACGTGGTATTGTTAGCCTCTTCCATTTTTAAGGCAGTCCATGTAGGCAAAGCAATCGACAATCAGGGCACTACGTCCTTTGTTTGAGAATGCGGAAACGCTTTTCGATCTAGGCATTAAGAACGAAACGCTTGTAAATGATGGCAGTAATCAGAGACGATAAAGTTTATATCGGTTAGCCATGAGAACGTAACGACGAGGCCCAACTATTGCAATCCTATACACATAGGCTTGACAATTACAATTTTGTTTAACTACGGTATAGAGAACATGTTTGTTTGTAATATATAGCCTTGCGTATTATCTAACTGAAATTCCGATGTCGTGTGGCGTACCTGAGTGTCTAAGGCGATTCTAGTAGTCCTGCTGTCCATTTCACCTAATAAGCATGTGGCCGTTAAAATGTCAAGTTTAACTACATCAAATCAAATTTTCTTGAAGCTATTAATTGTTGCAAGTGCTTAGTTAATGAAGAGTTACTGCATTTAGGCTCACCAGTTTTTCGATATATCAGTTTCTTTTTTTTTAATTAAAGAGCTATTCGTGCAACGAAATATCGTCAACGAAAACACAAAAAAGCATGTGTAGCTGTAGAAAAATGGGTCGCGATTTATTTTGCGGCTCTTCCGGATCACATTGACGTTGCTGCAGCAGCCTTGGTTGATGCAGGCAAGAAAGGAAAGAAGGCAGTGAAATAGCGTGGTTTCAATCGTCTTATTTTTGACATGAGTATTTAAACGGCTCAGAGCGCAATGTGGTGAAGAGTCACTTGTTGTAGGTAATAATTCCAATTCTGCATATTTAGTCAGGCAATTTTTATCAGATAGTATTGCTATCGTTCCTGTCACTATGCAGACATATGACAAATTGAATGCTTGTACCATGTAGTCTTCAGTTAAGATCGCTTGCAGACTCAATTAAACGCTTACAATTCACGTTCTGATTTTTTTCGGCACTTGTGAAGGATACAGATACAATTTTCTATTACTAAATGCTGCTTGAACGAGCCGATCTTGCTGCTTTCATCTGACAAGTTTTGATAGAAAAGGCCTTCTCTGTAAAGAAGCTCCTACAACATATTTCGTAAGAATCCGCAAACGCTTACGTTATCTGAATTAAACTTACAATTATCTTCTAATATGGTTATTATTGTTGTCCTACTGTTGGCTGAAAATAAGACCATCGAAACGTATAGCATTGTAGGATGAAATTGCAAGTACTATAGCTAAAAAGAAATTCTGCTTAATTAATCGTACATGCTTAATGTTCGATATTAGTAATTAATTTTTGAGGTGCATATGGCGTCATTTAAACAAGTCAGATATTTGCGAATTCGTATCACTCAGGAGGTAAAACTGAGGGAAGTGTGAATTTGGTGTATGCTGCAGTTAAAAAACATTGGTGTAATTTACACACCCCCTTAAATACTTAGAATAAAGTACTGAGTCATTAAACGGAATTTATACTTGAAGATTTTCTTTACTGGGTTCACTATTAGTTGAAAGCAGTTAAAAACAAAGTACTGTATGTTAATTCAACTACGGTATTTTTTTTTATTTACAGTATGTTCGACGGTGTGTAATCGTTAGATGTTGATATTTCCACCCACCTTAATTTTATTTTCATACATACTGCCCTGTAAGTTTTTTTTTAGAGTCGGTATTTCTAGACATCAAGTTCTGAATCTAGAGCGCCCACCAATTCTGTAGCCTGTTATATTTCTTTTCTCTCACGCTTACCCGCCAAGTTATTAATATACCGCTATAATCTTCGTGTGACTTTTTCTACCCCTTTGCGAGATACATTGTTCTCAAACAGACCCACATAAATTGCGAACAATTTATGATTTTTGATCCAACAAATTTTGATGATGTGTTGAACAATTTAATGTGAATTTCGCTGATGAGTAGCTTATCCCCCACTGTGCTCAACTTCCGTTTTTCGTCTTCCTTTCCCATTGTTTCGAACATTATTAATATTGTTGTTATTATTACCGTCCATCATCATATGAAGTCACCACCACAGTCTATTCATCTATAGGATTTTACTCTACACAGTACGTAATATGACTTCCTGACGGAAAGCATTCATATCCTGTTGCACACGACAAAACTTGTTTATTTTGGAACAAGGATTTCGCCTTGCCTTTTTTCTCAAAGTATTATGATTATTATTATTATTACTAATAATATATTATCAACGTAAAATTGCGATGTTTATGAACTCGGTCTTTGCTTATGCATCTATATAAGAAACAACTGCTGATTTGACCCATCTGGCAATTCGGTTTTATATCTACGTGTATTTTTTTTTGTATATGGGCCATTGGACGAAGAGCAATACTTACTAACGGATTCTGTATCTATAAATAGTTACAGCACACACTTGTAACAGTTATCGTTATAATTAGTAATAGTTGTGGTAATAAACATGGTAGTCATCCGATTCTTTGTCATCATTATCATTACATCTCACATACATGTAAAAGCATAAATATTAGAGTAGAATTCTGCACAGTATTCGATTATTTTATCAGTAACAGTAATCAAGTGATTATACGATTAAATAGTTTAATGTTTTTTTTCATTTCTCAGACTTCCTACTACATATCTCATTCTCAGTCATTGTATTGTTCGTTAGTACCCCCCCCCCCTTGTAATAATGCAATAGTTGGATATTATTCACTGTTCACATAATGATCGTACACAAGCAACCACCTTCTGTCATATAACTTAGCTTTCAATTAGATGAATCACGCAATCAAGGAGTGAGTGAGCCTTTTTTCCGCATATATATATATATAAACGTTTTGTCTATATAAATCTATTTTAATACCAGATCATTATTCTTCCTCACCTTGGCACAACAATATGTACCATCTCTAAAGTACATTTTGTAAAAACTATCGTGATACTGATTTAATAATAACTAATAACGATATTGGAAATGGCTTGAAAGAAGAGGCATTAGCTTCTGTGCTACGTTTACTAAGGCAGTATAGCTTTTTGAACACTTTGTCCCACATTATACGTACTCAATACGAGTCTGACTCTTCTGCTATGAAAGTGAAGCCGGCCTACAAATATGTCGACCGGGATTTGGTGAACGCGCATTTAAAAAACGCCTGTTTGTGTCTTGTACGTTCGGGTGACAGAATTCCTCTGTTATTATTTCTCTCATGGTTATGTTATTGTGCTCATGATTGCATCGTCATTATACATAATCTGACGTTTTGATAATTTGTACGCACACAGGAATCCATCTGACATCGCATCTTTTTATTTGTTTTTGTTTGTTTGTTCTGTTTTCAACGTTCATGGCACAGTGCGTAAATTCATAAGGTTTAAATTTTGATGGCTTTGCATTTTTTTTTTTATTTCGTCATCATAAAGCATCTTTTTATACGTGCTTTCTATATGTTCCTTTATTCAAGGCTTTGTGTATTACCAGTTTCTTTATTCCTCTTGTTCTTCGCTGCAGTAAAAATAATGTTTCTTTTTGCTGCATAACCGTACTGTTTTCATCAGGTATCAGCCCTTTCGCAAACTTCTTTTTGCAGGTAATGCTTTTTAATCTTTTGATAATCCTTTTCTACTTTGTTCTCCAGTTTTTTTGCAATTTCGTCATATTAAAAGTAAAACAATCGTTAAATCTTCAAACGTATAGTTTAATGTAGTATTTGTGATTCGAACTCCACATCATACCTGTCACGCATCAATATCGTTCATCAATTACTCGCTCTTACTAAAAAATGAGTTCACTTCTTTTTACATCTCTTACATAGACCGACCTATACACACTACATATAATATTGTTAGCAAGAGTGTTGAAAAGCCAACGCCTATGAGTTTGAATCAATCCGCCTGATCGATAAATTGTTGGTCATTATCAAAATTTAACCACTACCTAGCCTGTTGAGGCTATATCATAGGATATATAGTAGAACAAAAAAAGCAATTTGATAAAAGTAACAAAGAGCCCATACTAACATTGTCTCACGCTAGCATAATGGCAATATTAATCAGTTCTGTGACTTCCACGGATTATTATTTTTGTACATATGACCAGAAAATATGTCTACCTAAAATATTAAACACAGTATAGCTCCATCTTTTGCCACGTTCTATTCTATAGTTTCTCTAGGCAGTCAAGCATGTGCGAACTACTAAGACAGGTTCCACCCGTGCATTGCAATATGTGTCTGTAAGTTGATAAACACGCAACCCTCTCACGTTAAGTAAGTGAGTAAATGGTTTTCGTAATGAGATCACGTCTATTACACTAGTGTAATATGACTATTTTCTGAAATTACTTTATGGTTGGGTGATTTACCTCTGGGCTTATCACCCCCATCCTCTCCAAGCTTATCTGGTGCAATTGAGCCTGAATATTTTTAATTTACTATCTCTTTTGGTACCTCTATTTTGTGTAAATCATCGATTCGTGCCAAAGAAATAGCAAATAGATGTTGTTAAAACAAACTGAATCAACTATCGTTTCGAAGTTAGACAACGCACAGTAGGCGTACAAGGAACTGGGCTTAACGCGATAAACGTTATAACTGGAAATCTTGTGCGTTAACGTCTACGCAAATTGGAAGGCCTGGAAAAGGTGGGGGGAAGGGGAGGAGGATATTTAAAAGAAGTCAGGAACAACCCAGGGTAGATGTCAGAAAAAATAAAAAGCCGAAAAACGACAGGTAAACCTTGCTTCTCAACGGATTGCCTTCTACTAGCCATATCGTAGAAATAAATAAGATACGTTTAACAAAACACACTTTGTTGGATTGCTTTTTGATTACCTTGTATTAGTTTACATACATATATTTACCTTGAATAGGCGTGTTGGTTAACTTGACCGGCTTGTTGGCAAATTGTGTACTTCTTTTAACCTACAGCCAACTATTGGAGGGCTTATTGTCTTTGACCACAAACAAATGAATCGTAAGCGGTTAAATGTGAGCGAACAATATAACTAATAGTATAAAAAGATACAATACTTAACTGGCAAAAGAGAAAGTAAACAAAAGATTACAATGTAAGGAGGCAAGCATATAACACAAATTAAGCACAAACAAATTTTACGTATTTTAGATTCTCAGTGTTCTCAATATTTCCTCTCTTTCTCGCTCATATATATATATATATATATATATATATATATATAGTTTTTTGAGACTTTGGTGATCATAATATTATCATCTTGTTTAATATTGATGGTTTATAATTCTACGTAAGGTGTCACGCGTGTGCTGCAAGTGAAATGTACGATAAAGATGTCATTACTGCGACACATATTATTCACGTCCATCAAGATGGTGATACTTTACTACTAATGATAATAAGAGTAGTAATAATTAAATAAGAATCGTCGTCGTTATAATTGATGTACGTTCATCTCCGAAGCCGTCCACCAGACGATGTCCCTGTAGGCCGTTTCCGTCGCCCACTGCCTTGGCTGCCTTGACCGCCCTGGATATGATTCTGGGGAGGGGGAAGGGGCGGTGCTCCGACACCCATTACAACAACCAATCCACCGGCTGGCCCATTCAGGGCAGAATGAGGTAGCATAGGTGGGGGTATAACCACCTGTTGCTGGGCGACCCCTTGCTGTTGATCGCGATTGTTGCCACCATTGTTATGGTGCGGGTTATGACCATGTAGACCGTGATGGCTCGGATGCTGCTGGTTATGTTGATGTGATTGTTGCTGCTGCTGGTGTAGCGGCAGCACGCCATTGCTGACGTTATTTATCTTTGGATGGACATTGGGCTGCTGTTGACTGTGATGGTGATGTTGATGTCGACGATGGTGTGAATTCGGGTGCGCGTGATTGTGCTGAACAGCACCGTTGACTGGGTGGCCTCCTTCATCGAAATCCTGACAAGAGAGAAACAAACAAAAAAACAAAAAAAAATATTCGCTATATTATACATAACAGCAAATACGGATCGTAACAGCTATTCGCCATCAACTGCTTCATATAACCAATGCTGTTTCTATATGACAGTTATAAGCCATATCAAATAGCTCTCCAAATAAATTACGGAAAATACTTTTACAGAAATAGGCTGACTTGTGGGTCGATTATGTTTCTAGCGTACCGAACTGCTGTCAAGATCGCTTCGAGAATCACAACAATCTTCCTCCTGTTCGTCGTCACGCTCCTCGCTGTCACGGTCGCGCGGATCTTCTTCGTCCTGCCAACTGCCCTTGTCCGACCCAACTGAACTTAATGAACTACTGCACGACTCGCCATTTCCAGAGGACGGGTACACTGACAGCGACCTCTTATTTCTGGTCTCACTGTTGTTGGCACTGAGCATTCGTCCACCCAAGTACCTGTCCGAGAAGAATTTGAGTAATACAAAACGATTGATATAATTAATTACATTGCGGAAGAAGCTGCATATGGGCAAAGCGAGGATTTCACTCTTACTTAGTTTATGTACATGTGTATAATATATTGATGAGGCGTATATATTTAAATAGGACGAACATTATTATTAAAATCTTATGAAGTTCAGTATACTGTATATATGAAAAACGCAAAGATGACATAGTTTCTTTGCTACCTGTGGTTATTATTGTTATTGTTAATATTATTGCCGTGGTAATGATGTCTGCTGTGATGATGTCCAAGTGCGTTGTTTCCCCGCAACGGTGCGCCCTGTACAAGATGTGAGAAATTTTCCCGAAGCCAAGTGCGGTACTCCATCACCTGAAACGCAATTTGAGAAAACCGCCACGTTTACAAATGCTCATAACATTAATCATTTTTAAATAATTTAATTTTCAAGAAATGGGCGCAAAAAGTAGCAAAGACTTATTATTTATGATTCATTTGAAGAGGAACCGATGAACAAAGATCAACTGCTGACTTATTGGTTTTAGGGTGACAGAAACAAGTCTTACCTCGTCCGATATGCGAATAATTCGACCTAGTATGCTATGGTTAGGCTCGATAATGCCTAGAAAACTGGGATGGACGGCCTGTTCGAGGGTCATAAAGGCGAAGTCAAAGGATTTCTGTACATTGCTTGTTCCAAATGATCTCCGGCCAATGTTGTTGCCCGGAGTAAGAGGGTCTTCGATGCAGAGGCCCTCATTTGTGATGCCTTTGCCACCATCACGTACCAACTGATCCGTTAATACCTGCCTAGGTAACAGGCATCCTTTATCCTTGATCCGGATACCCACCTGAGAAAAATTATTAAAAAAAAAAGAGGTATTAAAGCAGATTAGTCATTATTTTTCAATTCTATACATCCCTCTATTGCAGCATTATTGCAAAGTTTACACTGAACGCGTATTTTATGTTTCCCATCTCTGATCATTTTCTACAAAATTGTGGACAACCTCATTAATAAAAGGGACAGCATCGATGCTTCATATTAATCTTTTAGTGTATGTACGCATGAAATAGTAGAAAATATTCAATTATCATTTCTGTAGTCTTGAATTGAGTTCTCGTTTTTGGACATGATGACTATATAGTATACTTTCGACTGATGGAAACTAACCTTTTCGAAGTTGAAGAATCGCCCGTACATTTCAAGGAACTCAAGTAATAAGACGCCTAAGTTTACAGAACCATCATTGGATCGAACCTCATTTGGACGTACATGCAGTTGAAAAAATGACACTACGAGAAGGATAACGCTATAAGATGAGAGTCCTGCAAAAGCATGCAAGGATGTTTGAGGGCTTAATAGCTGTCTTAGTATAAAACTTGGTACAAACATTTTAGAAAATCTGAAGTCGATTTACCGCACTCTTGCAATTTTGATTCCGCAAAAATCGCCATTATAAGCGAATCCCTTAACCTTTGAAATTGAATTTTTGGGTTAGCTGAGTTGGAATTATGATTTTTTATTGAGTTAGAGGTACTCGCTTTTCCACTCAGCCAGTAGCTCTAATAGCTTCTGAATACCCATATATAAATTCTTACATACGCGTTTTCATATGTGTTTCCTCTATCTATGGCTTTGCATAAATCGACAGAAGGATATAATTATCCAATAGTTGCCCTGTTTAGGGTATGGAGTAATCACACGGACTTGATCGAGAGAAAATAAACAGGTTGAATCCAACTGTAGATGTCAAAGACTAACTGAGGCATGACTATGAGATTTGGCATTGTTTTCACGTAACCAGATTGCTAGCCATAAGTTTCTTGAAAAAACTGACAATGGACGGCACTCATTATTTTATTTTCGGCAAATATCTCACAATAGCAAACGTCCCCGAGGCCCATTGCCAATGCCTTTATCATTTTATGCTAGAATCTATCTGCCCTGCCACCGAGCTGGATTTCTCTCCAAAGCGACCTCATTTTCTCGCGTAGTCCCTCTCCGATTGGCGGTACTCCAACCTCTGTCTATGATGAGCATACACTCCAGGTGGTTTCAATTAATGTAATTAAATTTAGCAAGTTCCGCAAATTCCATGTAAAATGTGCCACACAATTCCCAATCAACCTTTACTAAATTTCAATATTTCAGTTATAATTATGTGACACATTACATGTGGAATTTCATTTTTGGCTGACAGAGTCGTTAGGCTCTACTTGAATCTGCTTTAGCAAAAGAATTCAATTGCAACAATGCGTTCTTGTCCCGCGGATACACCTTCTCTCTGATACTCAATAGGCCAATCCCCATTCTAGAAACATTTGCACCATTCACGTACTACACTAAAACTTCGTTGTCTGGCATCTCTACCGATCTTTGACAAATTTGCACTTCGCTATGACCCTCTGGAACAAACATTTGACCACTGAGCATCGATTTTCAATATAAAAATATTTCCTTTTTCTGAACTAATTTCTCCAAACGTAAGCTCAATAGATTCTCATCCATAAGTTTCTAGAAAACTGGAAACTAGAAAATTTCATCTCATATTAGCGCATTGTTCAAAAGTTACTTAATTTCAAAGTTGCCGGATTTGCTTGTAATAACCTGAGTTCATGTTATGCAACAGCATTACAGATACCACACGACGTGTATGAAAAAAACAAGACTCTTATTTTGTGATGAAAACGATAGAAAATTGAGCACAGTACTGCTTGCACTTACCTCCGGTGAATACTTCGTTCAGGCCCCTCATTTGAAGGTACTGTTTAAGAACAAACACGAGCTTTGGAAGATGTGGGAACTCTTGGCAAAAACTTTTTATTAATTCTCCAGTTTTTACACTGTTCTTTTGATTAAACGAGATATCCACCTGAAAAAGAAAAACGAGCCTTAGAATCGTAGATAAGTATCTATTCTTAATAAACATGAATATATACTTGTTGATCTATGACCCGCTATCATTTGCTGAACTTTTCTATATGCAATCGCCCTAAATCGTGTATTTGGTTAAAAAACGGCAGCTGAAATCCCATGGCAAATACAAGATCGAATATATAGGTATCGTAACATATATTATACGGTTTTGTAAGGACACTGACATTACCTTGATATCTGTACTTTTATCGGTTAGCTTGACTAAGGGTACAGTGGCACTTGATAGTACCTTAACACCTCCCGCGTCAGCTATGCCTGCCTCAAGGAGTGCGTTCTGCATTGTATACAGTGGGCTTGTTTCCCATTCACCAGAAATCACCTTCAAATGGGCAAAACAATCTATAAGAATAAACTATATTTCGTACCTTTTCTGGAAATGTTTTAGCGTGTTTATTAGATTAATTATATTTGGTTTGGACGAAATCATTTTTATGAAATGAGAAATATGGCCGTAAGCAAGATTGACGAATACATCATACGTACTAAGTCCACATCACTCGTAGGCATGTAGATTCCGGTGTAAAAACTTCCGAAAACCGCGCATTCTGCTTGAGGCCACATCTGGCGTACAACCTTTTCAATGCGTTTCACCACATGCCAACGAACCCCCTCTTCTACTTCAGTTGGTTTGATATACTCGAAAAAGTCTTCGATTTCCTCGTGTAGCCTATGAAAACGGTACACTAAGGTATTAAATTGGAAGTTTCTTATCAAATAGCGCTAGTAAATGGTAAAATATTCTACTATGGTTTTATAAGAGCGAAAATCTGCTATTTATTTTCGGATACAGTATCAAAGAACTATGCTTTTTAACACCGCTATTTGTAAAGCATGGGCAGGTAGGTGACTACATATGCAGTACAAATGTGATCTATTAAAATTAATAAGGAACTCTCCATAATGTACGCGTCGATGTTCACTCATATCGTTTTACTAAAACACTGATAGCTGTCTATTCCTTTTTCTTCTTTTATCCACACCAATTGTATCAAAAAAAATTTCACACTAATAAAACAGCTTCTATATTTCTTCCTGGTCGCCGCTTAGATCAAACGGCTTCCAAAGTTTCTTGAAAAAGCTAAAGTCCTACGCTGTACTTTTGCTATGATGGCGAATCAGCCATAAAAACAATAGGTTTGCAACTGACTTCAAATAACAGTCAGGCGACTGGAACTAAGCCTGTTCTTGTTGAGCCATGCTGATAGCACACGCAATTGCTTCTGCGTAACGGCAAAGAACGTCGTGGGTAAAGTGAAAATCTCACGTCAGCTATTCCCTTGAAGATTAATAGCTATTAGCATTATAATCTTATGCAATATCGTGTAACGAAACATTCATAGTAAGGTCGAGATAAAAGTACACTGTCAAAACTCGCCTGTGTTACGACTTATTACAATATAAGGATACACCTTATTAGTGAAGCCTCACATTGACAACGATTCATATATATATATATATATATATATATATATTAATTTTCGTAAATATGGTTAACTTAGTCTACTTACCCAACAATGCCTATACTGTACTTTTTATTGGCTTTCATCCATGGCGTGCCGCCTTTTGCCCCTATGATACTACATGGTGGTACAAAGCATGGTACCCCACCGCCAGGGGCGCCACCAGGTGTTCCAGCACCTGTACTCGTTCCAGCTCCGGTTCCGGGCTGTGGTGGCTGTTTTGAAGTGCCGGGGTACGATGCTGGGTACTTGTTCTCAAGTGTCGATGCTGCTGAGCCTGTTGTAAGTGCTATATAATCGTGGTTCTCTGGTAGACCTGCGTAACAATAGAGACACGCCGGTAAAGTATTTTTACTGCGCACAATCGGGATTCATATGTGCAGAATCATTCTAAATTCCAGTACCTTTATGCTATGAAATATAATACTGTTAGCAGAGCATATTAATTTTTTTCTGTTATATGTTTTAAATGAGCAAAACAGATAAACAGCTCGACAAAATTGTTTTTATGATTTGACAAACACTGCTGCAGCATTTATAAGTTTTTCGCAAACAGAGTTATTTTCATACCCGAAGTTAGGTAGTATCCTTTACTCTCAGTGAACATCAAAAGGACCGAGGGAGTGTTGCTACAACAAACTAGATAATACAACGCATTAGCGGTATCGTTACTTTAACATTGCCATTTGGTGAATGATAGCCTTCAACCGAGTTAATACACCCGAAACATTTTACTCCTCCTTACGAACGGCCCACTCCGTGCTGTAACAGTGCAAAAGGGGTACCTCACCCCAGTAAGCGTCGAGGTAGGTTCACGAGCTAACTAAAAGCGTGTCCACATGAGGAGATGCAACTAATACGTTAATGGCAAATACCGCTTTCGATCAAGGTCACGGCCGCTCCTGAGCGGCTTGGCCGCCATAGAGTCTAGCGTCTGTATCGGCAGCAAGACCTGGTGAAAGCTTCGATCAGTCGCGCTGTTCTGGCCTGCAATGGATTCTGTCCCACGTCGACGAACAGCGCTTGGACCGGCTGAGTGCCGAGAGGCTATCAAAAATGCAGAACCAACGCCACAGAAAAAGTCAGTAGCAGCATAAACAATTTTAGACCATTATTCTAGCAGTGAAAGGTTGAGTTGCCAATTTTTGGTCTGCGACTAGGCAAAATGAAAATTTTAGTAAATATTACTGTCTAAATTAAGATACTTAATTATGCCGGTGGAAGTGCGTCGCTAAGTCAACTGTACAATGCTGCACGATATTTGAGGTACTTTAAAAACAACTGTAAATAACAATGTATTTAAAACTATAATATAATGCTACAAAATATTTTCTTCATTTCTCGCTAAAAACTTGAAAAACAATCCACAAACGGCCAAAAAACACTGTAGATAGAGAATATTCGATAAAACTGCTATTCTTATAGCCAATAGATGAATATTCATGTCTCTTATTTGATTGGATTTCTGCCAATTTTTGCAGCTTGAAATTGCTGTCAGCAACATCAGATGCATCCGGCTTCAGTGACATCTGGAGCCGCGAAAAGCAACTGCGTACTATTTAAGTTTCTATGGAAAAATAGAAGCGGAAATCTGAGGAAATCAAACGATTTTACAGGCAAACTACACCTGCCTGATAAGAGATGTGAACCGGCTTTCCGGAAACGATCAATACCACCAGATTGCGCCATTACCAATCCAAAATCATCCCTTTGCCAATGACACGGATGACTTGCCGATGACCGCGAATCGCGATTAAAGGTTCGAATTAATTATCGATTTAATTAACCAGTTGAAACGGGATAGCTAGAAGGCAAATATGCGAGATTAGCAAAGTATGGTGTTTGGCTGGTACTATATTTTCCTCACTTTCTAATCTTTTTAATGGAATAAAGGACCGTTCGAACGCATTGTACTAAATTTTTTACTTTACTGTGATTAGAATTATAAATGAAACATTGATAGATCTGAATACTTTGGGAGTATCAAATACTATTTGATTGCAAATGACTTTCACCAAAAATTATACTTCTATTTTATTATAACATCGTATACCCATATGTATCACTATATAGATTTCGAGCTAGAAAAATCGAATCGAAGTTAGCCAGCTGATTTGGTGAGTGTCTAACCGATGAATTAACTCAAATAGCGATCGCTTTAATCTAGCATCTAATTCATGTCGTTTACATGTAATACCATCAGAATCACATTGTGATCGACATGGTGCTCGGCGGTTGATTCTCAATTCGTTCGTGGGTGATACAGCTATTCAGTTTAATTTCATTAAAGCGACAGGCCCGTCGCTATTTTATGCAAATATCAACTTGTAGCTCCTAACTAACGACGATACATTACAAAAAGCTCACTATTGTATCATCTTTTTGACTATAAGCTTTGTCTAGATGCTCGTTTGTTTGCTTATCCGTGGTTCTAGCGAACGTCAGACTGGCCACTCACCACTAATAAGTGTCGCTAGCTTTTCGGCGCTGCTTACAACAAGAGCGGCAGCCGCGGGAACTGACCGTTGTCGAGGTCACCAACTTTTTTTTCTTTTTTGCCTCCTAGGACCACGAGAATAACAGCAGGATAATGATACTGTTGCCATTGGCAACAGTATTTACTCTTTCACCATGGCAAGGTGCAAGACTTCTTTTGCGTTCATGTACAGTGGAGTCAAACGCTTGCTTTGCTTCTGTTTTGCGCTTCTGTCGATCACTAGTTTCTGCTAACATTTGTCGTCTGTGCACGTGATGCACGCACGCACGCTGACGCACCAGCTAGTCGCTGACACAAAACTGTAGTTTTTGATCTCTCTAGTCTCCGTCAAGCTTTCCGATAAGCAATACGCAGAACTCGACAGATACTGAACGCATCGGCCATCAAAAAGCTTCCCGCATCACCGCCAATTCAACACCAATATCTACGATTGGAATATAACAGAGATGATACCAGCGTCAGAGCTGCTGCAGTCCCCATCGTGGTCGTCGACCCGGACAATAGCAGCAGCAACCCCAATGACTGTATATATAATACCATTCTACCAAATCGACTAGCCACCGTTAATCACGTTTAGAGCATTCATCCGCAACATAGTCAACACAACAAAACTAGTAACACAGTTGTGTGATGTAATTCTTGCCATTGCTTCTGTTGTTCGCTGTTCGCTGGTCGCTGTTATCGCTGAGTGTGCCACTGCCCCTGACGGCTCCCCCTGTGGCTCGACGAGTAACACCCGTGTCACTGGCAAACATACGTTGTATAGGCAGATCAGTGCGTAGGCTATAAGCTGGCTGGACCAAGATGTCATTTTAGCAGAAAAATGGTCGAAATCGACGCACCGAGCGAATCTTCGTCGCTGCTTAAAGGGCTTCTTGGCTTTTGAAAAGCCAGATGGAGTAATTGCAAGGGTGAGTATCGGGCGAAAAAAATCGCTTAGAACGAAATGTAAGATGAAAATTCGCAGAATTTGACCGCCAAACCGACGGCCGCTTTTCAAGCATCGCAATGGAACGCGTACCCCACTACGTTTCAGCCTTATGGACTTGATGTTGATAAAGAAAAGGAGCAGCCCAATGGCGTTTTTAAACAAAAATAACGGGTAAATTTGAGTAAATCGGTAACCACGTGTCGGAAAAACGCATTAAGGCATTACTTACCGTCCATGATCCTTTTCCAGAGCTGTAATGCTGGTCCCTGCTGTTCTGGCTGGAACCAACCGTAATGCAGATCCATGTCAAAAAAATCCGTCAATTACAAAGGGAAGTCGTGGTCTATAAACAAGAAAAACGAGATGGTACATCATTATGCGGAGGTTGTAATTAAAACATGCTAGGCATCATGAGAACGTTGGAAACAAATGTCATATATAACCCGAAATTCTTCGAACATTCTCAGGCTTTCATAACGGCGGGGTCAATAGAAAAGACATCCACCATAGATGATCTGAAACGAGTAAGTGTACGTATCGCGTTGTCTATCGCCGCAATACTTTAAGGAAATGGTCTCCGTCATGTTCGATTAAAGCCTTATTATTCACATCATGTTTACCTTTTTTTTAACCAGCAATAGTTATCCCGTTGCCGCCTTGGTGTTGCTCATCATTGCTTCATTTTGCTCAAATAAATGAAACTGGATTAAATCTAGCACATGGCACCCGTTTTAAGAAGCGTTTACAAAAGGAATATTCAATTTAGGAACAAACATTTCTGTTACACATTAAGAGAGATGTGCCCAGGCTTAGAATTCATGGTTAGCGCTCCTTACAGCTCAAATGTCAGATTATCGTTGCTTGAATGCCTGTAAAAGCCGTATTTTCCATATACCGGAATGGTAATTTTAAACAACAAGATAATTACAAATAGGACACATACTTGTAACTATAAAAACACAGCACCATTCAATAGATAGGCGAAAGTACACGGAGTTTCACCACAGCATGCCTGATTAGTCACGACTCGTTTTACAGTAACTAGCATTACGTGAACGATACCTAGTTGGAGTAAACCTCATTTCTACAAACAGTTGAATCTATGCACAGCAAAATAAAAAGGCTATGCCAAAGCAAACGTACATTTTTACAACAAGGAGAACTTCTCCTTTAAAAACGTAAACGACTTCATGGCCGCTGCGTGCTCATTAGACTAAATAACCCTTGGACTATCATCTGTTAATCAAAAGGAAATTCTTTTATGACATACTTAAAGCAGTAGTTTATTAGATATGTTTGAAGGCTGCTTGTATTTGTAAAAACGCATTATAAGAAAACATTTTTCGCGTAGTCTATATGTTAATATCCTTTTACTACGATATGCACATTAATGAGGCACACAAATAGCTCTATATAAATCCAAACTCCCTATTCTGAGAGGATTCAGAGTCAGTAAGAGGATACAGCGACGAAACGACGCAGCGACTGCTTTAACCTAAGAAATACATAAAACATGTAATAAATATTAAAATATGGGGAAGTTTACAGAATCCTTAAGAGGAGACGGAGTTAGTAACCAATGCCAACATAGCGTAGTTATTTTCGTTAAGTTACAACGAAAAAAAAAAAAAGACACCCCTTATTTTCAGAGAATAAGAATGCCCCGCCAACAGTTAACATACATCTTAATATATCATGACAGATCCTATGGAAATTCCCTCCCAAACTATGTGCGTAGCTCTAATTATGTGATAAACATACAGTATCACATAGGTAAAATAGTTCTAATTTTGTGAACAAATCTTTACATACATTGCAAAACTCTTACAACCTGAGTTATCGCCCATATATTTGTTACCATGTGCGATCACGAGGGGAAGATGGCTTGCCGCTCTAGTATTACAGGATCACTCGTGAGACTGGTGATATGCACTCCGATTCGATGGTTGTTTGCTGTGAGACCAGTTGCTCAATTACAAGTCGCATATAACAAATGACACCAACGAGAATTGAAACATTGTCGATACACTCGGAATGCCCAATGTAAAGATGTTTTCAAAAACAGCAAAATTAATATTCACATCAACAAATAATTTGTATCCAATCTCAACTCAATATTGGTATCAAGAAATTGTATAGTATTCGTATACTGTGAATCGTACAGATTAACAGGTATGCTTTTATGCATTTTTATGGGAAAAACCATTAGGCGACGGGAATGCAGGACAACATTCTAAACTTAACTAAAATGTGACAAAGAACTTAATATAAATATATTAAGTATTTTGTCACATTTTTACACACAAAATAATCACTTAATGACTAGTTCGCCACACTTTTTTGGCCAGCCACACACCCCGTTCATAGCAGATAATGCTCAAGTTTTCTGCTATATCTGCTAACTTATTAATTTCATTTCTCTTAGCCTCATAGTCACAGTATATCTCTGTTGCTGCAAAGCCGACATTATTGAAAATATGTATTATAATGGATACGAATCATTTAGGAAAAACTAAGAGAGAATTCTCTGTAGACAACCAGTTTTTCTACTTTATCACCGCCTGCTTATAGGTGTTCTAGACGATGACACATGTTTCGAATACGCAACGAGGCGATATTACTGATAAAACTTCTCCTATAAATAACGGAATACTGCTAACCTTGTAAAGTATATTAAGATTACAAGGTGTAAAAATACATAATTCCTTGAGATCTCAAGGCTTTTACCTTTTCCCAAGCTTTGCCTCAGTTTCATTGCATATTTACTGAGCAAGTATATTACTTAAATGATTTACTGAAATAAAATATTGTATTGCATAACAAAATCCGGTCAATGATGCTCTATCTATTTTATGATCGCTTTCTGCGTATACTGGTACCATCCCGCTACTGCAATTATCTGACAAATACATTAACATATTGTCCCACAAATAAAGCACATCCATTTAATTCCAGTAGGACTTCGGGTTCGCACTTTGCCAATCCACCAATTCGACCGGTCTCTGCATTATAAGCAGATACAGTTCTACTACTAGAGTATTTGCAGATATTACACTATGGAATGAAGCATCACCACTCAATTTGGTGGTTCGCCCCGGCGCCCCAGGAAGAGCCGAAAGCTCTACAAAACAACAACAACTACATCGGTCGACTACGCCGACCATCACCATCGTAAATTAGTTTGAGACGATTCCTTGTGTTGCGTCCATTAGGAAGTACGCGCGGTCGCGCGACACTGAGAACCCGCTACATATGATACTACCGTAATCTGTCTCAACGATGTCACTATCTTAGCCATAGGAAATCTACGGCGCTCAACAGTGCCCCCAGAATAAGGATGAACGGCAAGCTTATTAGTGTCCCTTAATAATCGAATTTCCAAATCTACAGACATCGAGCACTTTGCTACATCTGCCATAGGCCACACACACATATATACATATCGCCTTAGTAACTGGCAGGTGCTTCTCGAATTTTCCAGTAGCCGGGAGCCGTCGATCCAGACGCAGCATATGCAAAACTGTGCGATTTTTTTTTCGTCTTTCTTTCACAATCTACCGTCAAAGTCGTCGATTTGACAACCAATATTAAGCGCACGCACACACATACGAAAACGGGCTTCACTAAATCATACAAAATACGGAAGAAAATGCCCTCTACGAGTACAGATCGATTTACCCAAACCCACCTTGAAAAGCGACTGGGAACTTTGCCCGTCACTCACGCGCCCGCTGGCAGCGACAGCAGCAGGCCTGCTTCTGCGCCTGACGTCTATCCTATGTTGGGCTCTCCTGCTGCCGTGTGGGGCGGTGTACGGTTCTTGGGCGTCGTTTTACCGCCGCTGTTGCGGCTCCCCGCTAGTGTTTTGCTTACGAGCTATAACTAACTGTTCTACGCTTCCAGGCTTTTCACAGTTTCACCTAACACCACTCCCAGCAGCAGCAGCAACACCAACAACAACAACAACAACAATAACGACGACGAGGAAGATGGCAACAACAACAACAATGACGGTAACAACAACAACACTAACGATGATCCCATACAGCGTCCATTTAGATCAGCAGTCTGTTTCCTGGGTACATATCTCGTTAACAAGCCAAACAACAGAATGCTCCGCTCGTGTATCGTCCGTTGACAGAGTGGCCAAAAACCCGTTGCATTTGCGGCCGCTGGCGACTTTAAATATCGTCTTTTCCTACTCACATATACATACCACTGGCACCGTCGTACTATGCGGTAAATAGACACCCTGCGCCGGATATTTAATTCATGAAGCGGCCAATCTCATTCACAGTGTCCACATTGGCGGGGTGCAAGTACAAATCCGAGTTTTTATGCTAATTGCTTTTTATGTTCGTATACAACAACTCCAGCTAATAACCTGTTGTTTCGGTTATTGATGGTAGTATTTTGCTGTTCAAGCAGACGCTGACCTCTCTGCTAATCTGCCACTGCTTTTGGCTGTTATTAGTATCAGCAGCAATAGCAGCAACTGTTCTCTGCCCAGTCGCTCATCCGGACGCTTACTTGCGACCCGTTTATCGTAAAACAGGTGCGTGCGAATGAGCCCGACCGACCAATCAGACAGATCGACCGAGTGTAGAAGAGTCTAGATAGAAGACACTCTCCAGTAGGCTGCGTGACCCCAGCGGCCCGCTGTTTCGTTTAACAACGTTATCGCACCTAATTCTCGACAGTTCTACAGTTTTCAATGCCAGCGGCAGCAGCAACAGAAACGATATCAAGTAAAAACTCACAACATCAACAATAATAACAACAGACTCAAACACACATTATCCTCTGAAGGCACGTGCACCGACGTCCACTGTGGAGCACACAGATTTCGTTAATTTGCCACAACGCGACGGATATAACTAAATAGAAATCACAGCAGTACGCTCGATGTATCACCGCCACTCTGCCATCAATGATGGCAGGCTCGACTCGACGCGACGCGCAACGAAGGAGTTAGTCGACGACGATCTCCTATAGCGTATAATAAATCCAGCAGTCGACTGGTATCGAGAAGTGGCAATCGTGTCCAGTTCACTACTTCTACGGCGAAGTCGCGTTGCTTGTCGACGTCTAAGTGGCTGTGGTCCCGCTGCCGTAAACTTTCCTGCAGTTCGTCGCCGTGCTTCTCTCTCACAAGCAACCGCGTTCTTTTTTCGTTTTTGTTCCGTTTCTCTTAATAGTCGGCTCACTACTCAGCGCTGTCGTCCGTACTGACTACCGCGACTAGCGCCAGCGCCACCATCAGCGGCAGAATCAGCAGTGAACTGAACGACAGGCACAGCTCTATCGTTGCATGTCTGTCTGCGTGTACTGCTGCCGCAACTTTACGAGCAGCTATCAAGCCAGACTGCTACTGGTAAATAGCATTCACGTTGTGCCTACTGCTGTAGTTCCACCACTCTCGCCATTTGACTCTACTTGAGGAGCGGTGTAGTGCTTCAACGAGGGCAAGCGGCTTACTGAGTGAATAGGCTAACAGCACATACAGATACCGGAAAATGGAAAATAGACAGACGCGTGGACGGCGAGCGAGTTTGGCTCGAAGCAGAGCAGTCGCAGCTGGATACAAACAATAAACCACCTAAGAGCGTCAACGGAGAAAAGCTACTGCAGCAGAGATAGTGCTCCGTCCGAGCAATAATAGGAGCATCAGTTGTAGCAATTGCAGTAGGAACTACCCGTTGACTCTATCTACCTCGGGCTGGGGCAGCTGCGGGGTGTTTCTGCTGTTTTAGCTACGCTGACTATTTCAGGCAACAGACCAGTTGATCTTGTCTATCCGAGTGGAAGCCGATGGACGGGCACCTGGTTCGTTCATTTATTCGCCGTATGACGTCGTGCGAATGAGCAAGTTTACAGTGAGCGCGGTGTCGGGAGCGATGGTTTTGGCTGTTTTGACAAACCGGACTCTTTGTTGGATTGTGCCGTTTGCCAGCGAACGTATGAGCGAACAAAGTGGAACGATCCCCGGGGAGCGGAGACGCGTAGGGGGAAACAGGCGCCGGCTGAGCGATCACCTACTAACACACTCACTCACTTGGATAGTCACGCTGGGCTGGCCAGCGTGCATATCAGATAAAACCACCACCGGCTGATGAATGGCTACGGGGTGCAGCTGTAGCTACTGCTGGGGAGGCTGATCGTCTTAACACTCCTAGACCTCGGCCACTTCGTCTGCTGCCACCACTATCTATCGACATCAACAACAACAGCACCGAATCACCAGCAGCGACACTGCAGACGGATAAACGAATGATGATGCTATGCGACGAGGGCTGATCTTGTCTGCGTCAACAGGGAGACAATACTGGGCTGCACAAGATCGGTGGTGACACGGGTAAATTCGAGATAAAATTTGAGGAAAATTTTAAACTTACTAGAATCGCTGGTTAAATTGGAGTTCGAAAATAAAAACGAAAAAAGCTCGTTCTGTGTGACGCATTTTTAGATGATGTAACCTAGTTAGAGAATAAACGACGAAGAGTATCTGAGTAGGTGAAAATATAGGGAACTTCAGTCGTAAGAGTGCTTATTATACGTCGATATACATTAATATCAATATTCATGGGATTTAGAGAATTGATATACGAAAATGATCTGTCTTCAGACAATTAGTCTTGATGTTCAGCAACTTTAACCAATAGGTAAGGCAACAATACACGACTCTATTTGGGCTGTGATGCATTCACTTGAGAAATACCGGTGATTAGATTGGAGCACACAAATAACTAAAAACGTATTGCTAATTTTTATAGTAATCCTTAAAGAATTAGCCGGTGGTTTCATTAATGCGAATTATGCCCTGCACAATTCTATTACAGAACGATCTTATAACTGTACATATTTGCACTTTGATACACAAAACTGCTTTCATTCTAATTTTCTACTATTTCATTTCGTACCAACGATACCAAGCCTTCATTTGAGCATTTAACATTTTTCTGCAAAGAAGAAGCAAACATGCTGGTACTATTAACACTGTGACAGTAATGATTTTATCTACTGTCTGTCTTATCTACAGATAATTTCCTCTTCTTTGTACTAAAGTACGCTTAATTTCTCCAAGTAGGTTAATAGCGAAAGTTCTACAGCAATGATTTCTAGTTACAGTTAGTCCCTAAATTATGGCAAAATTGTACCTAAGTAAGATTTCAGTATAACCAATTGGTCTGAATTACATTTTCAAACAAAAACAAAGAAAATTTGTATATCATTTGGCATTTTTTGTGATTTCATATAAATTCTCACATATCACCCGGAGCATAACTGTATGATTAACGAATCTTTCTGAAAGATATATCATCAACAGAATTTGAATGGATCGACATTTTTGGTCTGGACACAAGTCAATAAAGCTAGAAACCAGGCGGTGCCCACGTTGAGTACTGCGGCTGCTTGAAGCGTCGGACGCAAACAATGACGTCGCCGGGTTTTGGCTGAATCGAGGAATCCTCGAGCATAATTCCGCATTCCATATCCTTTCGAATAATGGAGACCTCATCTTTGAGATGCTTCATTGATGCCACTGGTCCTCTACAATACGCAAAACAGCAAAATAGCAATGTTAGTATGAGATGATGATTTCGGTCTAGTGATGCTGCAATATAACAAGTATGCATGATTGAATGATTATTACAAAAATCGCCGTAAGGCCCCTGAAAGGCAAGGAAATCGACGCGAGTAAACGCTGCCAAGATTGCCAAAACTAGACGCTGTAGAGTTTTAGACCGCGGCTTGGAATGGTGTATATGAAAATGGGCTAATTCAAAATGTAAGCAGGGTACCCGTGAAAACGATCATATCTGCTAGTTAACCGATTACCTGTAAATCTCGTTTCCGTCTCGGATAAGTTTAAAGTATTCTGGTTTCCTAAGTTCGCCCTTAGTGCAGCGACAGCCAGCTACAGGCACTTTTTTCTTGCTTTTCTCAGGTGTGACCATGAACTCAGCTAATACTGCTGCTTCGCCCACCAATTCTTCAGCATCAACTAATGGAAGACGTGAGCTTATTTCTCGTTTTAGATCGTCGATCAGGTGATAAATTACCTAAATTACATAAATTAATCTTTATAGCAGTTCAATTCTTAACACTACGAAATAAGAAACAACTATGTTTTCCTTTGACTACCAAAATACTACACTATTATAGAGCGGCGCCAGATATTATAATACTATCATATATGTAGTTTCTTTAGAGGATATTTATAAGTACACTTGAAAAAGTTTAGCATCGTTGAGCCAATTTTACATTGGGCTGTAACAATAAATTGCAAATACCTTTTACGTTTTAATATACCATAACGCATGGTGGGTTTTCTAACACCAGGCCTAAAAAAAATCGAGGCATGAAATAACCTAAAATCTATTGGAAAAGAAATTCTCCGCATATAGATTCGGCTTTGATCAAATTTGACAAGGATTGCCTGTCTTAACAAATTAGCACATTATCGCTAAATCTACTATATAGATGTATGTCCTGTCATTAAACGCCTTTAAAAAAATTTCGGTCTAAAAATTCATCGCTACCTAGTTAAGCATCTATTTGGTTGTTTCTTACATGTATTTTCAAGCTAAAATTGTACTAAAACTAAATATGTACATCTTGGTAAAAAGTTTTTCTTAGTACCTTGTATTCTTTGATCTTGACGTCTTTTGCGACGTATTGACTAACTTCAGGTAAAACTCCCACGTGCATCGCATACACAATACCGTCAAAGGTTTGAGCAAGCTTCACATCGCTCTTGGACACAGGTCCCACTCCATGCTCTACTATATTCAATTGGCACTCATTGTGCTTATCGTAAGTATCTAACACATTTAACAGAGCTTCGACGGAGCCATCAGTATCACCTAAAAGTTAAACAACAGCGATCAAATTATCAGATTGGTTCAGTGATTATGATCAGACTAAAATAGGTCTATGAACCCGTGTGTGCAGGTTATTGATAAACACACACGTATATGTGCTGCTTATGCAGTCCAATATGCAAGTGACTCAAAAAGATCCTAGAGCCACTGAGGCCTAGAGAGGACTCTATATATAAAAAAACAATAACGAGTAAAACATAGGCCTTTTCTGTGTGTATATTTTTTGTGTAGGATTTTGTGTATTTCCTAGAAAGAAAAAAATTCGTATGAAAGTAACCCATTCTGGTGTTTATATCTAATTGGATAAAAATTAATACTGCTATTTTCTATTACAGTTAGTAGAATCACAACGTAAATAATTACGTTCATGCAACTTGAGAAATGCACACGTACCTTTGATAATAATTCGTAACGTAGGTTTGTTTTCAACTTCTACTTTGGGGACCTCACGATTGATTTTAGCATACCGATAGCCTGCGGCCCACTTGGCCTCGAGAACTTCACGATGTTTTGCTTTGTGTTCGGCAGCCCTGAAATTCGCCATACAAAAATATCGTCATGTCAAGTCTTGGAATAGATGCCCATTAGCTTCATTCTAATATTTAATTTAGAAATAGACTAAACTTAATGGTACATCACGAAACAGTTATAATGTTCCTTGCTAAAAGATATCAGTAGCTTCTTGATGGAATAGATGTGCGTTATATGTCAAAAATACTCGAGTACAAAGTCGTTTCGTGTATTGGATTAACAAGACAAGCATCCCTTTGTTTCACATGACTGATATAGGTGAAATGAAGAGTGAACCATGATAAATGTATTCAGGGTCAATCTTAACTCTAAGGGTAGCTTTATTACTGAAAATAATTTGTATTTGCTTTTAACCTTCATGTTCAAAGATGACTGAAAGAAAGTTCAAGTATGTGTGAAGGATAACCAATAATGTATTCACTGGTCAATGTCCTAATGTTCTTATGCACCGAAAAAGTTGAGCGTGTATAACACTGACTGTTTGATTATTTCATAAAAAACAAATTTGTGTGTTATTCGGAGGCACCGTAGAAACATTGCATAAATATGGTTGACAGGCAACGATTTTTTTTAGGTTCATTATTACACTTACCTTGCCTCTATCACCTTCGAGTCTTCGGCAAGTTTCGCTGTTCTATCCTTCTTATGTCGAACATCGACGACTTCTTTTGCGCGTTTCTCGTTTTCTACCTCAAGTACCAGGTCGCCAGCGTTTGGTATTGTTTTCCAACCTATCAATACTCTTGGTTAGAACAGTTAACTTATGATGAAGATACGCAACATAACTACAAAGATTAATTTGTATATCGAATCAATCTAAAGCTTATAAAGGAAAGAGTAAGTTACGGCTTCTCTAGAAGAATCAGACGAATCTGCTAATTTGCTGAGGATTGCTCGTTAGGAAGCTAAAACATGTCGTCGGCTAGAACTCTAGGCAAGAGTTAGTAACACGCAACGGTACAAGGAGCCTTCCTATCTCGAATGTTTAAAGAAAAATGTATACTAGAAAAGCGTTAGCATGTATACACACTCACGGACCGGTAATTTGTGCAGCGCAACCGGGCTCAATCTCCTGCACAGGTTTCCCCCATTCATCGAAAATTAATCGAACTTTGCACCACGATGTTCCGGCTACAATGTGGGAGCCTTTTTTCATTATACCTCGATTTACCAACACAGTAGCAATTTTGCCGCGATGTTGGTCTGTGCTGCTTTCAAGGATAAACCCTTCAGAAAAACCCTGTAAAAACGAAGAATCGCGTTCCAAAAGACATGATGTAATTGGAGCAAAGTGTTAGCCATGTTTGATTTCAAAATGAGTATTTAACACAACATGTGTGAATAATTGGCTGCCATTTAATGAGTTAGTTGAATGTTGAAATAGTATTCTTAATTACAGAAAAACATTTGCTAATTTGAAGCTTATCACTTTTAGTCATACATAATGTTGCCTATTAAGGTACTCCTATTAAGAAATCGGGGTTCGTGATGAATGTACCTCAAAGGACGCTTTGATATTAAGAATCTCTGCTTGAAGGACGATTGCTTCTAGAAGTTTGTCGATTCCATCACCTTTAAGAGCTGATATCGATACAAACTGAACATCTCCGCCGCTGTCGTCGCTTTGAATTCCATATCCCAACAAACCTGAAATGGGCAACAAAAATTTTGAATATAAGTGTGCGACAAATAATTTCCCACTGTACATATGCATTATGTTAAATGGTCATGCATTGACCTATTCATACGTGCACAATTGTAATAAACTAGTAATTTGTAAGGCTGTATAATACAGAACATTGCCTCGATAAATTGTATTAATTGAATGTACTGTATGAGTTAAACGCAAGGTCTCGAAAGATCAATTTGGATAATCCATACGTGTCTCTGCTAGCGGCACTTAACCATTGGCAAATGTGCCCCACTCGAAGCCACGAGTATCCTTTTGATCGGTATAAGACCCCTTGCGTAAACCATTCTTTTAATGAGCCTACACAAAATATTTGAGTGATAAAAAGCTGAATTTGATTGCTGTGCAACGAGGTAATTTATAAGATTGGCCTAGAGAATGTAAACGACTTGGACCGGTCTACCTTTATCCTCCTCTGGCCATCAAAGTAATTGTACGCTCAGTTTTTGTGTGCTTTTTTATATTCCTACGTGCGCGCTGTGTATGACATAATTCGAAGACGTATGACCTCTAGACTTGCGTACCCATTTTGACTCGCTCGAGGTTTGCTGAAGGCTTGTCCATTTTATTTACGGCGACCAGTATTGGAACTTCGGCATGATTCGCAAACCGAATTGACTCAACGGTCTGCTCCATCACTCCGTCATCAGCTGCGACGACTAACACGACCATATCTGTCACATTGGCACCACGCGCTCGCATCGCTCGAAAAGCAGCATGACCGGGAGTGTCTAAACCGTCAAGATAGGTTGGTGCATAGACATAAATTTTGTGTGTTACTTTTCCTCGGTCATTTGCTGCTTAACAAAATGCTGTATGCACGCATAGTAAAATAATGTTTTCAATATAAAAATATTCGCCAGTCCATGTCTTGACAAAGTAAAGGTGTCTCATCTCGGCTTGTTGTATGAAAGAAATGATAGAAAAAAGTGGTGATTTGAAGATTTGATGCCTTTCTCAATTTCCATTAATGTTAGAAATAATTAGACGAATTGACGAATTGATGTTGGCGTAAGTTTTCGAAAAATTTTAAAAAATTTGCACAGTTTTCAACCCATTCAAGCAAGAATATGCCAACCGAGGAACGTGATGGCTCCATGCGCACACATCTGTACAGGAACGGAGAAGGCTCCAATGTGCTGCGTGATTCCTCCGAATTCCTGATCGACGATTCGGCTTTTCCGCAATGTATCTAACAGGGTAGTCTTACCATGGTCAACGTGACCCATCACCGTTACTGAAGTGCAATGGAAAAAACATGAAAAATATCAGATCCTTACATACTCACGAACTCTTTGGCAATTATAACGAAGTTGAACACTTCACAAATATATGACAAATCATTATTATTATTGTTGCGAGTTGTTTCACATAAATGTATGCCATAGATCGCACAATAAAAAAATACTCTGGAAAGTAGTACCTTTTAAAATCCAGCTCTAACAGCAGCGATATTTGTTACTGGAAACACTGTGATAAAATCGAGCTCAAGCTCAAAGTAGCCTTAATTTCTGCAGCCGTCTCCCATCGCAAAAGAAAGTCACTCAAAACATAATTCCGTTTGCACCAAGTCAGAAAACTACAAACCAACAGGTCTACGAGGTCGGAGCGTTTCTGGTTTGGCTGGAGGACGCCTCTCGGCGTCTCGATATTTATCTTCCTGTAACCTTTTGCTAACGACGGACATGGGTGCAGGCCCAATCTCTCCACGATAGCCTAAAATTTTTAAAAGCTACGCAAACCCATATAAGAAAGGAAATAGGTTAACGAAAACTTAATGTTAAAATCTATTTTACCTATACCAGGCATAGTAATTAGGTCCTTAACGGTGATCAGAAACGGCTCGTTATAGTAAGACGTAAATGGTTATTCATTCGCATATCCTTCCCACAGCGAAGGAAACCACTAGATGGTCCACAGCACTTATTTATATATCAATGATGATCATGGCGAAAAAGCACCAACCTCAATAGCGTCTTTATGAGTTAACTCGTCGGTCTCGTTTTCATACTTGTTCCCTTCAGGTATATAGAGTAATCCCTCCACGACATGATTCATTGGGTGTTTCGTCATCTCAGAAATCTCTTTTACCGTGATATTTTTCCAAATCTGCAATTTATTATCCAGTCACTACACTATGACAATACTCAAAGCAGACGGCCCGGCGAGTCAAACGTAGGATTCATTTGATTACAGGGAATGCTGACATTCTACTGAGGGGCAACGCTAATCAGATCGTGATCGACTTAGTAAACTGGTGCTCACACAAGAGAAAAGCTTGAGTATATGTACCCCTCATAACATTATTATTACAAATAAATCGTTTAACCTATTTAAAATAGAAAATTAGAGGTAATGTTATAGCCACAGCGATCCACTCACGTCGCTAAGTACGACTTCTTGACACAAAACAAAGTTCTTGAAAATTTTCTTAAAATTCTTATTGTTACTTACTGATCTATTAATTCCAGTGTTTGCAAATAATCAGGCGAATGTTAAATGGAAACACTCTGTAGAAGGTACCTATAACTGATCGCCAAGTTACAGGATTAAAGCACAAAAAGGAAACCTCTATTAATATCTCCATATTGCGCCTTGTAATCAAATCATTCCTAAAGAACTTTACTCGTATTCTACTAACAGGGCCAGTTCCTAATATGTGGTGTCGCCGGTTCGAGCCACGCAATGTCCCATCTGTTCGCATTACCTTAGATCATAGACTTAGTAAGCATTATATATATATAATAGTTCTGGAGGGGAAGAAACACTCATCTTTAATTTGCTTACCTTTATAAGGGGCACCTTCGATTTAATTTTTGCCACTTTTAGTGGTCCTTTCATTTTTTTCGCCAGCACTGGTGTAACGGAAAGCGACCTTCGCAGTATGGAGCTGTGGAATCCCCACAGGGGTAATAGTCGGCACGGCACGCTCATAGTTTATAGTGACCTAGTGCAAACACACCGAGCGACGTTAGAACTTTATTTCCACTTCTCTTTCTTGAGGAACACATTGATGAGATTGTTAAAACAAAGTACGCAAACCACGATAATTGCAGTAAGGCAGAGCAGAGATAACGAAGAACGGCATAAACATGTTATGAAAAAAGCTGCACTTATAACGGGCCTAATGTTTTCTAAAACAACCTATAAAAATCGATTACTTCATTTGTGGCTCTAATTTTCAGTTGACTTGTTGGTGATACGTGCAAAACATATGTGTGTTCGCCAAAACAATGATGTGATCACGGAGTCAGGTACCCCAAAACAACATTTTTGCATTATTCAGTTTTGAGACGATTAAAGACGCCCTTCTGTACTTGGAGTATTCATTTATCAAAGAATAAACAGATTACAGTTTAGACGATAGATTCTTCTGTCACAATATGCACAAAAGCTATTTCAATTATTTTCACGTTTCACGTCAAATATGATAAAACGTTGCTTATATAATGTAATTGTCATTTTAAGAAACCTGTGAACGCAGCGTAGTGGCGATATCTGACTTGATATGGTGTACTTGGATACCAAAGCGAACTTGCAAACGCTTTTGAGTGTTTAGGTGTCCGCCGGGCGAAAAATATCCTCGAAATCTAATGTACGGAAACTAAATAACTTCTCAAAGATAGAACTGCAGCAAGCCCTCATTGCACTTTAGTATAGAAGGCCATTTCCTCATGCGACTCCTACGTATTAATAACATTATATAAGCCACATAGTAGAAACTTTCCACTGGCTAGGTGGAGAAACATCTTACTTTATTTCGTTCATGAGCAGCTCTAGCAGATGTCGCGAAACTCTCTCTAGGTCAAGTAATTGGTGATAAGATCCGCTGTCGAAGTGATTTTATCGACTGTGTCACACGCATGAACAGCTTAAGCAATAGCGTCATATGTACAGTGCGCTGTTTCAAAACATCGAAATTGGAGCGTGCGCGAAAAGCCACGCTACAATCAGATCCGGCATATAGCAATAATAACACCGGGTTATCTATTGATAAACAAAAGCAGATGAATTTCGCTACAGTTGATTTTATGTGAATCCGCGCGCAAACTGGGTAATTACAGCACTACGGAGTAACGATGAGAGAGAATCACAACGCCGTAAATACGTTGCGAAGAAAGATGTATTCTTAAGTGACCTTACATTTTGAGAAATAATCTTCAAGATGTGATTATTAGCATTCTACCATGGCGGGATCCGTTATATACAAATGTACTATAATTCGACATGTGCGCTCCGAAACTTTATTAAAAAGTGAATAGAAATAGCTCCGTGGATGCCTTACTCCTGGTAAGTTCTAACAATACTTCTCCTTTAAATGAAGTAAACACGGGTCGTTATGCGAATTCAAGTTGACACATACATTTGTTATTCTTATAATGATAATTAACTACTGAGAGTACGGTATCATCAGTGTAATTAATTACTTCAGTACAACAAACGCAAACAAAACGCATGTGTTTAATGTAGCAGATAAAGCTCCAACGGCAGTTATTGTAAAGTAGTATGCCAAGTGACGGGCCTCGAAAAATGAGAACAGAACACGTATATCGTAATCAAGAATCTATGAATAAAAGAAATGTGCGGGTATTATATGCATTGATATTTCAATGATAGTTGAAATGCAAACGTTTGATATTGTATGCTACATAAAATACTATGTACTTTTGCGGATTTTCGCGCGGGCCGCCGACGAACGTACGACGCTGGCCTGTAAGCTGTAAACTAATTTCTTTTCTATGCTAGGAAGTTCTTGTGCTTTGTTTGGACATCAATTAAACAACTAACCTCAGAGCGAACCAGCACTTACTGCCAGTGTTGTGATGCATCTTACTTCATATTGCTGTCATGCGCTAAAGCGCGGCGTAGAATGAAATTTAACGCATAAAGAAATAATTCTCAATTGTCCTTTATTACATCTTTAGTTATTACTATGAATGTTTATTATTATTATACTATCGAATTTTCGCTTTGGGCAGTTTTTCAAAACCGCACGTGTAGTATCCAGTGTCTATTATAATCTAATTTTAATATTTTTTATTTGATATTATTCTCACCAAAAAGCATATCTTTAACTAGCGTGTTACACTGTATGATACGATTAAATTTATGTAGCGTTTCATAAATCAGAAGATACTACCAAACCCTTACTTTTAACGTAATCTTAACTCTATTTTCTCTCAGTTCATAAAGTTACCCCAGAAGCACTGAATTTTCGGTGCGTTTTTTTTATTTCGTTGGGAAAGTTGAATGATGTGCATTTAGCAACAAGCGGTACTATTACCATAAGTACATTTTTCATATATTTTCTTCAATATGACTTTATTCTTTTCTTAGCATTGAGGTTTAAGGAAGCAACTTCCCTTATATAAACACAGCGCATTGAACTCAATATTCTCTCAATAATTAACCACCAAAGTTCCACTGAGTCGTTCAATGTTAGCATTAAATCGGTCAAAAATTTACATGTCATTTTGTATAGCATGGCTTTTAGGTAACGTATGCATACTTGCCCGGCAATAGGTGTGCTCTATATGTATACCGACCTTTGTTTCTGAAATATTTGCCATTTCATTACATAAAAAGAAGCATTAAAATATAATAGTAAAATGGATTATTATTTATTGGGGCGATATAAACACCACCCACCCACAGCCTTATCGTATGCGTATATGTGTGCCTATAGGGCATATATCAGCTTCTCTATAGGTGAAAATAACATTTCTTACACATCGTTGGTTCAAAAAATCAAGGAACTGTTTATATTTAGGATTTGAGCCGCCCGATCATTGGTTTAACGAACAGTACTTTTTTTCTTTAAGTAGGCGTATAAATGGTTGAATGTAAACGTTTAAAATAAACGTATTGGTATTTTACATGATTTGAGGGTCTACGACTCTATCGCGTCCAGGCTTATATAGTAGATTCTTTTATCATCGATGATGGAAACGCTTTGTTTTCGCAACCATTAAATTCAAATAAAACGCTTTAAATTAAAAGCGGCAGCTACATTCATAGGGAAATATCTTTTTCTAATAATTTCAATAAACGACCGCGCATGGTAGCATATAATAGGTCGCATCTAAATAGTACTACATATAAACATAAAAAACCACACATTCTTTTTTATTTTGATATAAACGTACAAATATTACTTTATTCAGCTACAAATGCAGCTTCAATTACATAACTTTTTCATACACACACATATTTATATACTATTTTGGTTTTGTTTCGTTCTGTTTAAATTAATTTACATCTACACACATATATATGCATGAATAGATATTGGATCACAGTGGTCTACTTGCTGCCGCTATCCGCAATCTTCGGCACTTTAAGAGCGAGTCTTGTGAATATGGGTCCCAAAATATTTTTCCGGTGATTCTGTACACAAGGGTTAATTCTCGCAGACTATCGTTATCGCTGTGGGTGATTATTCTTGTGACCACTTTTTTTTCGACGATTTTTTGGCGCATAGATGATCGGAAAATCATCTTCGTTGAGCGGGTACACCCAGCTGAATAGTTTGTACATTAAATATAAAAGGCTAAGCACATAAGAAAAAAATAAAGACTCGAAAAGAGTCGCTTTACAAAACAGTGACTGAATCGCTTTGGCAATGCACGGTTTATCCCGTGACATGACATTATGATAGATTTGTTCCGTTCGGACACCAACCGAACTCCATTGATAGAGTTCGGATACCTGACGATTTGTATCATTTGGAGAAACTTTCCTAGTTCCGGAACGCTTTGCATGAATAGCTTGTTCCAATCCAGATACTAATGATTGCACCGACGGCGTACACAACCAGATCAGCTCTGGTGGCAACACATGAGGTATGCCACCGACGTTGGTTGAAACTACCTGAAAGTTGAAAGTCGTGTGGCGCTTAACACAGTCAGTTAGAACGAACGGGTCAGCGATTTGCTTATATTTCACACTATAGGGGCAATGAGTACCACGTTTCTAAGGGATGCAAATTTTTAAATCTAACCTACATGGAATTTAGTTTTCTTATCAGGTTCAAATTTCCCTAGAAGAACAGCCAGAAAGCACAGCATATTTGACCTACGGTAAACGACTAATCGGACCATATTCAGCCTGTCAGTCAGTTGCTAGATAACTGTCATTTGTATGTGTCAGTTTCTTATGTATCCCTAACCGATGCCGAGAGCCTGTTAAGGTACTTCGCCACGCACAGTGTCGCTTTCTGGTACGTACAGTCGGTTAATTTCACGAAATATTGCAACTTAAGTAGCAGTGAATTTAGTGGTAAAGAGATTACTCATTTAGATTCTTATAGAGTATGCGAGTGTTCGAATGTTCGTGAACTCTTTTGCAAACTACTCTACTCACAGCTTACCTGTAAGCCGCACGATGCAGCCTCAACAATAGCCATACAGAAAGCTTCGGTAAGAGATGTGTTGAGAAAAATGTCTCCAGACACTAGGAAGTCGCGCACCTCGTTGTGTCGCAAATTGCCGCGAAGAAGTACCCTTTCTTGTAGCTTGAAATGTTCTCGGACCTCCTCCAGGAGAATACGCTTAGGCCCATCGCCACCCACGAAGAAACGAACGTCGTGGTGACGGCGACAGATGATTGGGATTACCTAAAGCGAATGAAAATGTTAGTCATCATAAATCAGTTGTAAAGCAAAAGATCGTTTATTTTTCTGCCTCTTTCGATAGTCATTTTTCGCCGAATCCTTGATCTTAATATATTATTACGTGTGGCAATTCTTTATTAGTAGATAAATAGTCTTCCACCCACTAAATGCCGCGTGCCTGCCAAATTGAATACGTTAGTCGGAAAATTGAAGTCAGATAAAAGGTTTCAGCATTGAAACATAATAAGCACACAATAAGGTGACCATGTAAGCCTACCTGAGCGAGTAAATCAATGCCTTTTCGGTACATGAGACGGCACAAGACAATTATGACAGTGTCTTCACTCTGCCGAGGTTCGGACGGTGGCGCAAACATAGCAAATTCAACGGCATTTGGGATGACGCTGATTCTATCAGGGGAAACTCGAGCTCGAAGAGCTGTGTTCATCCGACCCACCTTAAAACAGCAGGATAAAAGTCCTCCTAATTAGTTTGATTTACCGAATCCAAAGGTATCATAGCGTTTTGTAACGAATCTGCTTACTCATTTGTCATTTATAGGCTAACTAATGATTCAAGAACTGGGACTTGATATTCCAAAGGAATTACATAGTTTGGCTGCCAACTTTTCGAACTTGCGGGGACTCAAGTCATACTTGAAAAAACTTGTACTGGCTTACAATGTACCAAATATTTAATAAAATTTACGTCCATACGTACCTCGGAAACGCAAATAACATGATCAGCAACGTGAAGACAAAGCTTGAGTAATGTGTTCGTTATAACAGCAGACACGTCCGAGAAGCCAAAAAGAGAATGGTCTGTAAAAACGCTCCGGATATTACCTGTTTGAGCAAGTCACATATAAGAAACTAAGCATTATTGTTGACAAAGCGCTCATTAATCTAGTATTAAGCTCTGAAAAAATATATAGGGAACTGACTAGCTCATCTAGGTAATTAAAAAGAAAGATTAGATATTTGAGAATATAACTAGCGGCTCCTTTCGTACCAAGGCAGGCGGCGTGGACAAGCGTTTCCAGGGCCAGGCTTGAAAATGCTCCGTGCGAGTGCACAATCTGGACGCGCTCTCGCACAAGAATGTTCCGGATGAGACGAGAGGGACAAAAGAGCGTCGGCAGGCCTGACTCGCAGTAAACCACACATAATGGTATATGGATAACCTGAAAACAGGCATATAGATGTGCAAGGCTTTGTTGTTAATTTTGGGTTACAATTGTACCAAAGACTGTGGCTATAATGTAAGTCACCAAGTGCTTCACGTGTCTTCTCTAAGTAGGCGCAGACACATACAGCCAATTTCTACAATGAGTAGCACTACACGGGCCAAATGAAATATTCCAAAAAGTAATAAAGATAAAAGAAAGACATTCTTATGAGCTCCACTTTTATTAAAATTGCGTCTATATACATATATATTCAAAAGCAAGTGGTCACCTTGAGTCCGTTGGTAAGGTAGCGTATGCCAATGCGATCTGCGTATGTATGCGTGAGCACGATGACTGAATGCCCTCTCTGAAGGAGGCATTGCGCTAGTTGGTAGATGTGGGTTTCCACTCCGCCGGTATTCGGGTGGAAGAAGTCTGATACGAGGCAGATACGGTATTGAGTACTAGACTCTATCGTCGCTGTGTTCTTCACGCCACAATCGCCTCCGCCGTAGTTTTGTGGATTAAGATTGCGAGATTTACGATCTTGACCTGCTCGTAAATCGTCAGCTGAATTGTCGCCATCGCCAACGGTATTTAATATTTTGGATGGACCCAACGTCCTCATTGCGTTCGCCGCAATGAGGACAATCTGCCAAGGTCACTCACTTCGGGAATTCTAGTCCTTGTTGCTGATCGCGGTATGTCGATACGGCGCAATTGAAAATGAAGATATGTTAGGTTGAGCATCATCAACGAGCACTCTGACGTAGGCCACGTAAGTACAGTTGTGCCGCAGAGAAAGCTGCTTCTAGACGGCGGTTCATGTATGGATCAGGCCAGATGTAGGAGGCGCGGTAAAAGCCAGTAATTTGGCATTGCAGCATTATGAGCGAATCAAAAATAAGCCATTCACCCCCAGATCATCCACTGACTAATCAGATCATCTCGTTAATGGCTATGGCTTGCGAATCTTATGTAGATATTTTTTTATTTGGTTTATGCGTAATTAAGTTAATTATGTGCTCTCCCTGACTTTTGCTCCACTTACTTCCTTGCAACCCGAAACTGATGGCTGGATAATGATAGCACTAGTGTCCCACTATACGTGGTAACAGCTTCTATGCACATGAATTTGCAAATGTATTATTAAAGAAATTTATCGGAAAAGAACTCTTCCAGTCTGCGAAGGCGGTCCTTCACTTTTCACAAGTTCTGTTAGTTCACCGCGTCTCTTTCCAAACGTATACAAATACCGTAGTTCGGACGTCGAGTCGTGCTAATTTCGATTTAACCCACGTTCAACTTTGGGGAAAATGAAGTAGACATACACGGAACATATCGGTTGGCACCTCCGGTTTCACATGAGCATATTTGCAAACTATAAAATAACGTAAACGCCTTCCCTTGACTTGCACAGCAATGTCAGAGAGAACGCCCCCAGCCAGATCAGAGTTTAGTCCAAATATTGGGCATAAACACGTACATGGACACCAAACATTGGCACTGACTTGAAGTGACTGCTAAACGCTTTCCTATCGTAGCGGGTTGAATCGGAAAATGACGAGTTGTCAAGTGGAATCATCTTGTTCATCGAGTCGGACGCAGCTTACTTCGGTGATGCTCACGTCATAATTCAGCATATTCAAGGCTTTGCAATATGTGGTTTTGTCATGAGTCGCTACCTTCAGGGTATTCCTTTTATGTTCGCGTATCATGCAACAATACAACGGGTAATGAAGTCATTCATTGAATCATGCGCAATGGGTTTTGATTTGGACGTTCTTTGTTATACGCTTTTTGAAGTGTCGATGACTCTCACTCATTTGGCAACAGTCTCATGAGAACCAGAAATGTGAGTTTATTCTGACAGCAGATTAGTTTGGTGTGAAAATTAACTTGCACAATCCAACAAAGATCGACAAACTACTCTAATGGCAAATTCTATAACGTCATTTCCTTATTCAATTTCCTTCTAACAGGATCTTGCCTTCTTCTGGAGTGTTTTTCTCTTCGCGTCTATTCCGCTTTCATTCCGAAGCAAAAGTACTCTTCTATGCACAGATCACAAAAAGCATAAACACGTCAAAAATTTATCGTCGACTGGTCAGTGCTGTCTTCAATAGGACACCCGTAACAGTAGTATCAAAACATAGGCCAGGAGCACAGAGCTGTTATTTTGGTGAACGCCGGTCGACCGTATTTTCGTAGCAGTCGCTGTTCGTGCTGCGCTGCTAAGCCGTTGTACCGCATACATATCACAACGGTTTATCCAGTTTTACGGTACTTCGAACTTTGTCTAATCCTGTGTCTTTTCGGACTCGAACCAAGTGAATACACCGTTCACTATCTTTCGCGTCTCTAGCATTGAGTAAATTGACCAAAATTTGAAGACTACTGCATTTGGAGATCGATAACAGCAATAATCGTATAGACAGACGGATAGACAAACACGGCCCCGAGCAGATGAGCTGTCAGATCGGAGAGCCCGCCAAGCAATCAATGGAAAGTTCCAGCCGCAGTTAAGGCATTCGATGCGCATTTGGCCAGTCGACTTATCGCTATTCATTTTCCTGACCTGCCTCAAAAATCGAAAATGTGTCCTTGCGACGACTCGGCCCCTTCCAACCACTGCTACAGCTTCTGCCAGTTGTGCGCAATTCATTAGTTTTTGTGTGTCACCAGTTAGCTAAATATTGTGTGCTATTGTTTATTAATCGCGCGGGCCAGCCCGCTCATCTAGCCTCCACTTGGCTAGAAGCGTCCGCTTAAAGCGTGCGTCACCATCTCGCGACTTTGCATTGGCCACCGATGGCGCTCATCAGGTAAACAGCGACAGTAGCGTTAGCAGCGATAGCGGTGGTCGTGGTCATTTGGGAAGCTACTGGGCAAAGCAAACCTGACTGTCCCGCTTTGTGTTTCATATTTCGCGCAAGCCAGAAAGCGTTTCCGTCTCTTCTCTTCCCTTCTCTTCTCAAATCTTTTCACTTGTCTTCATAATTACACTGCCCGTCTTCGTCGCCATCACTATTCCATAATCATCATTACCAGGAATCATTGGGCCCCGGCTCGTTGCGGGCTTCGTCCAGGCATAGAGCTGCTGCCAGTGGTTGGTGGCTCCAACTTGTCCCGCCTGACGTCACTGTTGTTTTAGCCTGGTCGTTATTTACCCGCTAGCCTCGGGCTAGCATTTACGCGTCGTTCGGTGGTCGGTTTGATCCGGACCGATCCGGTTGTGAGCAGAGCGGGGCGGTCTTTTCGCTCGTAGCGATTGAATTCAAACACGTCGTGGGCTGCGAGAAAGCGTCGCAATTTTCGTATTTGCGTACAAACCGCCCATGTCACTGTGTCGAGTGGGGCCTGAAACACTGCCAACAGTCTGAAGAGTACGGAAGCCGAGCTGATGGTGAGTTTGGCGGTGGGATTTCGCGCCGATTTGCCGCTTTCGTGACGAATAATAGTCGCTTGTCTGTTTGCCGCTTGTTGGTCGTATGTTATGTGATTTGTGTGTCGTATCTTATGTATATCTATGCGTGAAATTAGCGCCCTATTATACTTTTAGTGGTCGTAGAGATCATTGCGCTGTGCTACAACAGAAACGAGTTATCGAGTCTTGTCACCGGAAATCTCCATGTCGAGTCTGTTTGGCCATAGTTCATTAACGTTCAAACTACTTCGACTTTTACTGTTATGATTACTGCCATCGCTAATATTACTATTAGTGGTAGTACAACTCCTAGACTGGAGTCAAATGGGTGTTGGATGTCGTCGATAGTTGGATGTGTTGTCTTATACTTAAGTGCTGCGTGCTTTGTACTGAGCGCCCGCTAGTTGTATCTCTAGGCTGGCTGGCTGGGGATCGAAGATCGACAACGCGGGCGGCAAGCCGCCCGCGTCGCCAATCGGAAAGGGTGCGTGTTCAAATGGCGTACAGAAGATGCTCTCGGCGGGCTAATTTACTCGAAAATATCATGTTAACTATGGGCGCACATATCGTATCATATAGTTGTGGTGCGTCCCAAAATATGTGCCGTGTAGCATGATCCAGACCCAGTAGTCGAGAATTTCTGCGGAAGAGTTCGCTTACAGCCAACTGCAGATGGCACTACTGGAAAAGGAAAAAGTGTACTTTTTATCAACCTGGAATTAAGCCGTTAGCTGGCTTCAAAATTAGATACTTATTATTAGCTTATTCATTCATTGGCTGGCGTTTTTCTTTCATTGTAGTGCTTGGCTACAAATGCTGTGGAGTTTTGTAGAGGATCGAAAAACATTTGAAACAAACAAAAAGAAAAAACAACTGTGTGCAACGTGTTTTCTTGTGAGTTAAACTAAACTAATCCAATCGCAGCTGTACAACAAGAGGGGGAAGGTAATGAAACGTCACATAGATCTAAACATAAACGGTGAATGATCATCGAAATGAAGTGGAACAGTAGCTGTAGCAATTCTATAACGAACAAAGCGGTTCCAGGTGACCATCTCAGTTAACAAAAATCGACCTAGGCGACGGAAATCGAAGGCGGGTTCGTTATGCGCGACCACCGAAGAGACGAAGTTTATGGCGTCAACAAACTAAAAATATTCGGCCATACTTCCACTGCCATCAGCGTGTAATGTAGAATAGACAAAAAAAAATAGCGATAAATAATTCTTGCAGGCTATGACCGCATAGATTGTGTGGTTTGACGCGCAATCTGTCGCGTATAAATTTTTATGAAATGCATACGCATGCGTTTTGTACATGGTATTCGATCGAAGATATTTCATAATTCGATCTTGTTTTATCCCATGAAGGAACGCAAAAAGGGGGCTTTAAATTAATTATTAAGTCGGACTCTGTCCGATGTGCGCATAGCAAGTTGCTTCAAGAGATTAGAAATCAGAAAAGTGCTCATTACAGAGTTAATTTCATCCAGGCATTGATGACAATCAGGAAAATCGTTGATTGTAACATCTAACGTGCTGTCAAAAAGATCAACTGGGTAGCACTCTGAGCTTGTTTTTAACTGTATGACCTTAGTGAACGCATATGTTCCTGTACGCCACATAAGAGTTTCTGCTCGTGCAAGCAATAGGAACTTTTGCAAGAGGAAATCGATTGTTCAGAGAAAATGTGTAGGACTTAAATTTCGATAGAATTTTAAAATAATAGAAGAGTGAAATATATTTCGCAATAGTTGACGTTCCATAAACAATCTCGATAACACAGTGTTACATGTGACTATCGCTATGAACTGCTAAAATAAGAAAATTAGTGCAGCTTAAGAAAATATATACTCTTTGGCAAGAGATTTTACTGGGTAGGTATATAAATATTGTGAAGAAAACATACGTAATAAATAGGTTAAAACCTCTTTTGAAATTAAGTGTCTTTAGTATGGTCTCTGTGAATCAATATTTCATATAAGCTTTCTTGATTCAACATGTATTGAAATTACTCGTGCAAGCTACTGGGCCTATATATATATATATAATATAACGGATAGAGCAGTCCAATTAAATAAAAATACAGTGATTAACTCTTTGCTCAAATTTTAGTGGGGTAGTCTAGCGAAATCTCCGACGTTATTAACAGTTAGTCCCTTGTCAAATTAGCATTTTACAAGCGACAGCTGACGGTGTAGGGCGTATAACATATATATATATATATATATATAGCATTATCAATTTTAATTATCTAATTTGCTACTTAATCATGCAACTAGCAGTTTAGTTCGTTTGTCTTCTCTACTAAACAGTTATTCGGCGGTGTTGGTTTTACAAAATGTAGATAGAACGGTCTTCTTTTTATTAGATTATTGAAATGCATCATGTTATATTATTACGATATAGGCCCGCCGCGACTTAAAAAGCTCCTTTCTCCTGGCTTTATCCCCTTCCCCCCTTTAACGAACTTTATTGCGTCGCGTGATCAATTCTCAAAATTCGCCATTTTATCTCGTTTCAGATCTTTTGATCGTGATCGGTTAAGAAATTATTGTTAGTTCTGCTATTCACACATAAATCAATAAATTGGTGTGGCTTGGTCAGACGCCACTAACGGCGCAAGGGAGAACGTGCGCGAGTGTAGGGGGGCTTGAGGACGTCTCAGAATGACGTTTCCGGCAACGATGAACGGCGGCGGGGCAATTGTTCCAGGTGGCGCCGAGGTTGCGCGTCAGCTGTTGGATTTCAATCAAAAGCTCGACATTAATCTTCTGGACAATGTTGTACAGACAATGTACACCACCACCGGACCCCAGCAGAGAACCGCACAAGAGGTTCTGACTAATCTTAAGGTAGGAAAATAAGTCTGCCAGCATAAGGTGCGTGATATGAAATATATTGATAGCGACCTAATGCGATAATTTAACTTTATGGTGAGGAATTGTGCACTCTTAATGTTATGGAAATTTGTGTTGATTAATTAAATAGGCTGACCGGAATAGGATGAGGTTATTAAACCTCATCCTGTTCTGCTAGCGGAAAAAGCTTCTGAAACGTAATTTTTCGTATGTGCAGAAGTCTCCATATTAACTCACTATTTTGCTACCATTTTCTTTTATGATTTGTAGGAACACCCGGATGCATGGACTCGAGTAGATACAATCCTCGAATATTCGAAGAACCATCAGACCAAATACTTTGCACTCCAGATCCTTGAGAACGTGATCAAGACCCGATGGAAGATTCTACCCCGTAATCAGTGCGAAGGAATTAAGAAGTACATTGTCGGACTTATCATCAAGACCTCTCAAGACGGTAACCTAAACGACAATGAGCGCGTCTACTTAAACAAGCTCAATATGGTTCTTGTCCTGATCTTGAAGCGCGAGTGGCCCAAAAATTGGCCCACGTTCATCTCCGATATCGTGGGCGCGTCGAAAACAAATGAACATCTTTGCCGCAATAATATGGTTATCTTAAAGCTTCTGTCGGAAGAATTGTTCGATTTCAGTTGTGGATCAATGACCCAGACGAAAGCAAAGCACCTAAAAGAAAGTATGTGCTCGGAGTTTTCACAGGTGTACACGCTTTGCCAGTACGTGATGGAGAACTCGTGCAATCCATTGCTGGTTGAAGCAACTCTAGAGACACTTTTACGATTCCTTAATTGGGTTCCTCTGGGATACATTTTTGAGACAAAGCTGATTCACACGCTCGTGTTTAAGTTCCTCAACGTCAACTTATTCCGCAATGTGACACTTAAGTGTCTCAATGAAATCGGTGCAGTTTCGACAGAACAATACACAGAGCAGTTCTCGTTCCTTTTCATCGAAACCATGAAGCAGATGGCTCAAATTATCCCGCCTGACACCAACATAAAGGCTGCATACGCAGCCGGCTCCGACATGGAACAGAAATTTATCCAGAATCTTGCCCTATTTTTGTGTACGATGCTTAAAAGCCGAACACAGTTAATGGAGCAAACCAACAACATCGATGTGTTATTGGAAGCCCTCAAGCTTTTACTGTTGATTTCTGAGGTAGAAGACGTAGAGATATTCAAGATATGTCTTGAGTATTGGGGCTTCTTGTCTCAGGAGCTCTACCGAAACAATGACCTTCTGGTTGCTTTTTCTTTGCAAACGCCCTTTTCGCCTACCGTTGAAAATATGAGACAGGTATGCTAGCATAAGTAAATCATGTGCTTAGTTTATTTACATTGCATTTTCTAAGTTCATTTTAGAGAATGATTTTTATTGAAATAAGTGTACCTGTTGTACACATGTTTTTAAGCGAGCAACTTAACAGATATCACTTGTTTAGCGATAATATCATGAAGCTAAGTTAATCTGTTGTCTTTACTCATTATTACTATTACGACTAACATACGCTCCTATCTCCAGAATCGGCGAAAGCTCTACGCACCAGTGCTAAGTCAACTGCGCTATATCATGATCGGACGTATGGCGAAGCCGGAAGAGGTTCTCGTCGTAGAGAACGATCAAGGAGAGGTTGTCCGTGAATTCATGAAGGACACCGACTCGATGACGCTGTACAAGAACATGCGGGAATGTCTTGGTAAGTTTAGCTACCAAGTAGTCACGAAAAGCATAGTATTATCTATCAGATATATCATGTAAAGATATTTACAAAATGAAACCGGGAAAAAATGTTTTTGATGTGAGACGTGAAAGCAATTTTTCGTATCGGTGTCACGATTTACTCGCGTTTGTGTCGTACCGAAATAATAGCTAACATTATTTACAAGATCTATTATTAAAAACGGAGGCAGCACCTTTGCGTTATTCTTTTTTTCCTAACTTGCGTGCGTGCTATGCTCTTATTATTTTCATGATAGTCTACCTGACACATTTGGACTGCCAGGACACAGATAGAATCATGACGGAGAAGTTGCACAAGCAAGTGAACGGCTTAGAGTGGTCCTGGAAAAATTTAAACACGCTCTGCTGGGCCATCGGTTCGATATCTGGCGCCATGCATGAAGAGGACGAGAAACGCTTCTTGGTGACTGTTATCAAGGATCTGCTAGGCCTATGCGAGCAGAAGCGCGGTAAGGACAATAAGGCCATAATCGCATCAAATATCATGTATGTCGTTGGACAGTATCCTCGTTTCCTGCGCGCTCACTGGAAGTTTCTTAAGACGGTCGTTAACAAGCTGTTCGAATTTATGCACGAGACTCATGAGGGTGTGCAGGACATGGCGTGCGATACGTTTATAAAGATTGCACAGAAGTGCAAACGCCACTTTGTTCAGGTGAGCTATGCTGCACTTATTCGGATGGATGATCATGATTTTTGTTGCAAAGTCAATTCTACATTCTCCGTAGGTATCGTATGGGCAACATTTATAATTCGCAGTTTTAACTGCAGTTTTGACTTATTTGCTTATGAATACATGTGTGTGTTTGTTCACTCAGGTACAAGTCGGAGAGGTTCAGCCGTTCATCGAGGAGATTCTGACAAATATATCATCAATTATTTACGATCTCCAACCGCAGCAGGTGCACACGTTTTGTGAAGCTGTGGGCTATATGATCAGCTCAGAAACGGAACAGGCTCGTCAGGAACGACTGATTGAGAAGTACATGCAGTTGCCCAATATGGTATGGGATGATATCATCAACCAAGCGACGAAGAATGTTGATATCCTGAAGGATCCTGATGCAGTCAAGCAACTCGGAAATATCCTTAAGACAAACTATCGGGCATGCAAGTCCTTAGGGCACCCGTATGTGACACAGCTGGGAAGAATCTACCTTGATATGCTTAATGTTTATAAGGTTTGTCAAAAGGCATCAGCGAAGTCCATTTTTAGTGATATATTTCGAGCGCTTAGTAAGTTTAGATATTATTACGGTTACAAGATAAGGATTCAAGACGTGCACAACCCAGGAAATATTATACTGGTCATCAATTACTTCATATCTTCCATCAGGTGCCTTTTTAAACATACTATCCCATAACTCCACGTAACAATACAATTATAGGTGATGTCCGAGAACATTTGCGCAGCTATTCAGACCCACGGCGAAGCCGTAACGAAACAACCGTTGATTCGGTCCATGCGAACAGTCAAGAAAGAGGTCTTAAGGCTGATTGCGTGCTGGGTGTCTAAGTCTGACGAACCAAAGCTAGTGTTGGACAATTTCATTCAGCCACTACTCGACGCTGTACTTCAAGACTATCTCGTGTGTCCTGTAGCAGAGGCAAGAGAGCCCGAGGTGCTGCAGACGATGACGACCATTATCCAAAGGATGGAGGCTTTAGCTGTGCCGTTCGTACCAACGGTGTTCGATGCTCTCTTTAAGGTGAAGCAATATTATGGATCATAAGATTTCTGGAATCGTCTAAAAACAGTTATAAATGGTACAGCAGATAAGTACAAATAATTTTCGATTGCGAAGCCAGAAATCGCTGGTTGGTGTCTATAGTAAGGCGTATCTTCTGCTGATTTTGTGGGCTTGGTATCTGTTCGAGTGAAGTGTAATGTGAACTGAAGGCGTCTATTGGTAACCGTTATTCATCCTAACACAATTATTTTATTTTTCTTCTATCGATAGGTGACGTTGGAGATGATCAATAAGGACTTCGAGGAATTCCCCGAGCATCGATTGCACCTCTACCTTTTACTGCAAGCGATGGTGACACATACGTTTCCCGCACTGCTTGAACTCTCGTCCGACAAATTCAAACTCGTGCTCGACTCGATTGTATGGGCGTTCAAGCACACAATGCGCAACGTTGCCGATATAGGGCTCGAAATTCTCTTAGTTCTTCTCAAGAACATAGCGTGTGAAGAGGTAAGTGCATATAACTAGACAAAAAAACAGAACTAAAAGCGGAATGCGAATAAGCTCCCTTTGCGTTTTAGATCGTAATTGTTAAAAAATTTGCTGGGCTTTGTTTTTTTCCAGGCGGCTGCCCAACAGTTCTACCAGAGCTTCTTGACAGACATCTTGCAACACCTGCTTAGCGTGGTTACAGATACGAGCCATTCCGCTGGTCTGGCTCAGCAAGCGGCTCTTCTCGCTTACCTTTTTTCTCTAGTTGATTCGGGTAAAGTGCAAGCGCCACTGGCGCCCGGCGTCACCGATAACACCATCTACGTTCAACAGTTTGTCGCCAATCTTTTAAAAACGGCATTCCCGCATCTAACAGAGTATGTAACTAATACGTTGAAAAGGTTTCGTATTTTCTAGGTGCTTGAGGTTTTCAGATTTTTAATGTAACGCTTGCACAATGTGTATAAATAAAATGTTCCGGCAGTTCCTAAAGATATACATAACTGTACAGTTAACACTCTTCTCAATTTATCTCTACAGTAACCAAGTGAAAATCACGGTTCAGGGATTCATCAATCTCGACCAGAACGTAGTCCAGTTCAAGGAGCATCTTCGAGATTTTCTCGTTCAAATAAGGGTTCGTTCAGCGAAATGCTTGTTTCTACTAACGCAATTTCTAATCAATATATAGTTTATAATCTATCCAATTTCATTGGCAGATTCTTCATCCCATGCCGCATAACACCTGGCTAGTTTTCAACAAATTTTGTAGTTATATAATATTTCGAAGTTATTACTCTGTCTGCCTATCTCTCTTTAGGAATTCACTGGCGAGGACGATTCTGATCTGTATCTAGAAGAGCGCGAAGCTTCATTACGGGTAGCTGAGCAAGAGAAGAGAAAAGTTCAGATGTCCGTGCCTGGAATACTCAACCCACATGAGATTCCCGAGGACATGCAGGACGAGGTGTCTCATTACATGTAATGTATTTTTTAATGACAACGACCTGAACGTTTTCGCAAACAGCTCTTGAAAAACAGCAGCATCTCCTAACCTGTCAATATATTCCTGGCCGGAACGTACTGTGAACGATAGCAGTATGGAAACGTAATTGCCCCGGTGTCTGCACAGAAAGGGCAACGGACGCAAGTGAAGCTACGATGTGCTGACGACGATTATTTTATTGGTGGATATAACATTAATAATAACGCGAAGATTGCTACTGTTATTACTCATAAAAACAAATCAAGAAATTGATCGCACGGCTAACTTGAGACGTGCCGTGATCATTGGCGGCCTAGTAGCATACGTGCTGTCTGAGAGGGGCTGACCGAGATACACGACAAGTGCGAATCCTGCCATACGTGCCGCGAGGCGAAAGGAATATAGTTTTTTTTGTTAACAGACAAAAACAAACAAAGTAACGATTTTGACCTGAACCGTTAATAGCACACAGACACCACCGATTATTCATAGTTTTCGCACATAGCTTTCGAATAAATGTCTTCGATACCGTATGGAGACAGACGTGTCGAAAGAAACCTCAAACTGTCAAGAAGCCTGTGCATAAGTGATGGCCAGATAATCGTCAGATTGTTGAACCAGTGAAAGAGAAGGTCATTCATCAACCCTCAACAGTGGATTGCGTATTTCTAATTCACTATATTCTACTGTCGACGCGTGCTTCCAAGATGACCTTTTTTAGCAAATTTTTGCAATCGCCATAATAGCCAATGCGTAAACGACACCAACAACCAAACAGATGCGCGCCTAGTTCGAGTAATGAATCAACTGTCAGTGTTTGTACCGCTCCGTTAAAAAAGAAAAGTGAGTTTCTAACGGGGAATATGTGTTGAAATATATTATTGAACTTGAGACGCATTTTGCACTCGATTCAATTCAATTGCGGAACTCAATGGTCAAGTTAATGGTTGAGGTAGCTAATTTCTACTTAGTATAACGGTCATAACAATAGTAACTTAACGGCGGAGGATATTGTAAGAAAGAATGGACCGTCTACCGTCGAAGCACTACTGAACTCGTAAATAACAAAGGCCTTCTTATTTATGTTGGTTTTGATTGATGGCAATGGTGATGGCTTGTTCGTGTTGGTCAGGTTCGAAAACGATGAAGGACAAGTGATTGATGGTGAAGTATGTTCGATCATCTATCGTTGTACAAAAATACTGATAATAATAGTAGGCATAGTTGAGCGTGGAGAAACGCAGCTAGTAGATTAGACACAAGCAGACGAACGGGCAGAGCAAGCAATAGGTAGAAAGAGTATGTTCGCGGATACATATTCGTTGATGCCGTGCGGATACACACGAGCTCCGGCATGTGCAAAATAACCATAACGATTATGCCAACAAACAAGAGAATACAATCTTGTGCGAATGGAAAACCTGGAATGGAATATATAGAAAGCGATAGATTTAACGGTGATAAAGAATTGACAAAAATTGAACGATGCTAAGCGGTGAACAACAGCATCGATAATAATGACGATTAGCGATAAGCCTAGTACACTGAAAATAATTATGTTAGTTGGTATCGTGTAGAGTAACGAATAATCTGTCAACTGTGTAACATAAGCTCTGTGTTTATATTTATATGGGATAACTAGCAGGTCAACTTATTGATACATACACAAACAAACAAGGAAAATGACTATACGCGATATATATATATATATATATATCGCCCCCATATATATACATGGGAATGAAAAGGAGAGAAATGTGTATGATACGACAAACGTAGAGGAGCAGAATGTGAAACTGAACTTGAGCAACAATGACACAGAATAAATATCAACTGTAATGAAATATATTATGATAGTTACGATATAATAATGAACGGAAAATTGATTGCAACATGATCTATGAACGGAGATCTCGCATCTCTTTCGTCCCTGAGGAGATGCAATGCTGTTCTTGATAATGGATAAGCTTTAGTCTTTAGCTGCGTTGCTCATTTGAACAGCCGAGAATTAAGCCGTATAGTTTGAATATGTGAAATAAAAACATCAACATAGTTACGATAATAATAATAATTACGATATTAATGATAATAGTACCCAAAACCTACAGGAGAAGGTCAATACAATAGAGCATGCATAACATTAGGCATACTAGCAAGCAAGAGAAGTTCGCCCAATAGACGTCTTGTGCACAGAGTTGCGTAAATCTATAACGATGGATAACAATGATGGATGGAGAACAAAAAGAGACAAACTGATGGAATTATAAAGTTTCAATAGTAAAACAATAGCAGACAACGCAAACGTCTGAAGGAATAATAAGAAAATACAAATAAATACGACCGTTGTACAAATCTGTGTAGAGAACAAAGAAAATTAGCATTGCTTATAATTTCAGATTCTGAAATTCTAGTTACGTAGATATTTGTTACGGGTACGTGCCTCTTTATTATGGGGGAAATTTGCATGTAATCAACTGTATGTGTATGTCTATCAAAACTGTATATAGAAAACATGTCGGGATACAGCAGTCGACCCGAAGTCGCGATCCATATGCCAATTGCTTTCTTAGCTTCAGTAAACAAGCATAGCGTGCACATCATTGAATCATTAGTCATTATCAATTTCTATTAACGTTGTAATCTTCAGTAGGTGGAAAACCAACTGTTATCAACAGCCTTTCTTATTTTCATTTGGTTCTCATCGTTTGCTTTTCCTTTTCCTGCTTTCCGGCTCTTTCTGGCGTAGGGGTTACGACTGGCAGCAAGCAAATAAACTGTACAACTGTATTAGGTACAAATATTACGCAAAACAATGGTTTAGATCGATTACTGAGAAATCAACCCGTCGTGTGTAGGCATTGCTGTAATGGGATTTAAGTGTATTGGGCCCTAGAGCCCTATTTTTCGTATCAAATACACAGTTATGCGAGACTGGCGGAAAACTATCTTTTATGATTTGCCATGAATGGTTGCACTTGGGCTAATATAGTATGAAGTGCACGCAGCACGGATACATCAAGATCGGATCAGCTTATCCAAACGATATACGAGCTCGAATATGTTACACGTTCGAAAACGTGCTGTTCTTATCTATATTCTAAGATATAAAGCTGGGAACAAAGGTTGGGGAAAATATGGCTGAGTAACATTAGCGGTAATACCTTCTGTTTATAAAATCTTCATCTTAATATCTTATATCCAGCTTTGCGATGTATGACCTGTCACACAGATCTTAGACGCACTATTTCTCTAAAGAAATTCTGAGAATTATTTAAAGATAGCTTGACTGTCAGTTCATTTAGATATGTGAAGTATTGGCTAAACATTAAAAGCATTTGCAACAAGGACTGCTCCTCCAAAGAGCTTGCTACTCTACTCAGAAGTTTTCTTTCTTTTGATCACCCTTTGTTGCCCCACTATATCCTTCCAGGTCGACAATGCGCAATACCCTCGCCCAAACACGCCCTTGATACCGGCGACCGACACAGCGGTTAGCCGAGCTAAGCCTGTTGTACGTTCGCAGCATGAACACTCTATGTGTGGCTGTAGATATCGACGAGAAATTAATTGGTGCTCCAGACGCCGCCGAATAGCGCCGAGAGTAATGGCCGAGTGAGATAACGGGTTTCAAAAAGACTTGCGTACACCTTCGTGCTAAGGGTGGGCGCGCAAATGTGGTGCATTTGAATATTTATCCATGTGTGTCTGTGTAAAAGATCAGCCTTCTGTCTTTGAAAAAGTATGATAGCTGAATAGCGTCACGTGGGTAGCTGTGAGGAAAGTAGGAACTCTTTCAGCGGTTATCGCCATTTTTACTATTGTACTTGTGACCCTCCCGCTTCTAGTGCCTGGTAGTCACCAACTACCGTATCTAGATATGGAAACATCTATACCGCAGCGTTTCTGATGGGCGGAAGGCAGCGGCTCGTCATTTTGCCTGGTGCGTTCCATTTTATCCGTCTCAGTATTGTATGCGTTTTGCTATATTCATTAGTCTAACGGCCGCAGCTGTGTATGGTGCTGAACTTTATTCAGTCATTACTCGGCGTAGATGCACTTTATAAATAAACAAACAGAAAGTTGGGAGAATGTATATTGCGACGCTTGAAAATACAACTAAATGAACGTTCACAATAACAACGCCAACAGTCACAGTACAGTTCACAGTCACTTGCGGGCACATTTTAATGTGAGGCATTCATATGAAACGCGATGGCTGTTCTCGAAACATTTCATATTACTAGTTGTTTTTAGATGACTGGTTGAGCATGTGTGTCAACAAAGTAAGCTTTCAGGTTATTGAATAATATATTTCCGTTACGTGACCGAACGGAACAGGCTGTTCCCTCTCTTCCCAAGGTATAAAGCCATCGAAGTAGAGGCGCTTCAGAGTTTGGAAAGCCAGATTATCTCTATGAACTCAGTGTGTTTTATCGTGCCCTATGGATGACTACCGGATAAAACGATACAGACGGTACGACGCAGAGGTGAATGAGAGAGACCAGAAGGCTGACAATGGCCTAGTGCTGCCTAGTGCAAACCTGCTCTTCCAGGTGGGTGCCACGACTGTAAGGTTTATACCGACGGTTATAAAATGCCGGCACACCAATAGTGGGCAGCGTAAGATTCATCCAAATGTGAGCATGTAATATTCACGGCATCTTAAAATGCTTCAATTAGAGGTTTGCTTCGAGCAGGTAGAATATCTGCTAAGATGAAATTCCATAGTCAGTGATCTTCTAGAACGCGAAAAGACAAAGCGAGCCCTGATATCGGGTTTACCTGTTTGACGATTCTGTTTTCTGTACGTGCTTGTATTGATGATCATTTCAATTATATTCATTGTCTATGCTTAGCAAGCCATATTCTCGTACTGTTAGGGTTCTAACAACCGCAAAAAAAATCTGAAAAATTATTTCCTCTGATCAACTAAAAACGGTGGCTACGCTCTATTGCCAGAAGAAGGACAACAAAAATTGTTTGTCTGGTTAAGATTTTTGAAACGTACGTGAGCGAACCAACAGTGTTCATGCATGTCCTGTTTTTCCCACTCTATCAACGTACTAAGTGAATATCTCTACTAGCTAAATTGAGAGGCGATTTGGATGTGTTTATTTGGAATTGCGATGCTTTTACTTTTGCAGAAAACTTTGTTTTGTAATGTACTTCGTGATTCCAAGAAATATGTAACCAATTTAGTGATCTCCTGTAATGTACTCTCCGATTTCAATGCTACATTTTTATGTAGTGTATTATTACATTATTATTACAATTTATGTATAGAAAAGTATCTCCGCCAGAACATAAAAGCACAGATCGACTGATAGCTGATAGCGCACAGTAGTAAAGAGTATACATATATAGGACTCCACCATAGTAACTCAGGCGCTTAATCCATATTCACGATTATGATTCATTAAATGATGTCCACTTTGGTTTTGCTATAATTTAGATGGTGACAGCTGAACAGTTGAGTAAGCGTAAGTTGACTGGGTTAAGATCAAGCACCCATCGTTTTGCATAGCAGTCCTTTCTGCTGCGATCACTGCTGGCTCTCAAAGTTGTGTCGTCCATGGCATCAGAGATTGACTATTTCGACAATAACAGCTTGATCAGCAGGTAGTCCAAAAAGTTAGTGGTTCTGTTGCCTTTTTGGCGTCTATGGTCCCGTTGGCCGTCAGACAATCAACGCAAAAGTACTGACGTCACCTATAACATTATAGTAAGCAAGCAAATAATACTAATAAAGATCTGATCCAAACTTAGTAAATTACGCTTCCAACAAAATTCAATTCTTTGATTTATTAGGATAACATTCTAGTTTTTGTGACAAACAAGCTGAGCCAAATATATATGGTGGGAATCCAACTTATGACAACGTTACTTTAATTGAAATTCAGTGAGAATTTTCGGCTATGCGTCGGGGGCGTGCTTTTGGTAAAGCAAATAAACTGAAAAAAATTGCAATAAATATGAAAAAAAAATTAACTTTCTTGTAGGTTAGCCACGGGTTTGTTGAGTGTATTTTTATATTAAAACATCCTCTCAAGCCTTCAAGCCACTGTCTACAATAATATGTAATTTGAAGTGTATCTCATCTGCATCTTTACTTATTTTGCGAATGGTATGGTGTTCAATATACTATTTAATTTTTATTTTAAATTTATTAATATTTTAGAAACGCACACAAATTTAGGTTCTAAATTAAGGGTTCTTTTTAATCCTACTATTAGCAAAACCTTTGCTTGTTGTCTTAACCATTTTTGATATTCATCATTATAGGACAACTTCGTAAAGGATAGGACACTACCGTAGAAAATTTATTTAGCTGTTGGACAAATCGCCGTCAACGGTAGCAGTCTCCGTTGAGTTCTAACAAAATTTTTGGCGCACGAATGCCCACATTAATTATTGATACGATTTCAGGAAAAATCGAATGGCTTTAAGGCGCCAGCTTAATAGTTTTTGACTGTAACAAACACAAAGGAATGTTTTTGTGTTGTTCTAACAGCTATCATTAAAAAATTATATAGCTCCTCACGCGCGTCAACGGCAAAATAGCTATTGTGCTCTAATCTAATCTGTAACTATTAACCTACAGTTCGTCAGCGAGGCTGGTAAATCTGTTGTTTTGATCGTAGCAGAGATATCCGGAAACGATCGCTGTTGTGGCCGGAATTCTTAGTGAACCGCCTAAACTTTGAAAATGAAGAAAACCAGGTAGAATGATCGGTGGATTTAATTACACTATTTTTTACTGATTGTAATGATATTTTTTTTTAATTAATAATTAGCTATTAAATAGGGACAATCAAAAATAATTATTCAAAAGTGAAAGATTCAACGTTCCCGCAGTGTGCTAAATATAAAAAAATGACAGATGGTCAATACTCGAACTGTATCTATATAAATTTAGTTTTAATTGCATTAACTCCTGTAGAAAGAGATACGGAACCATGACATATACCTTGAACAAAATACTGTTTTAGCATTTAGAACTTCAAATAAGCATGATTTCACAACTTCAATGGAGTTCTATCTGTCAGTGCTCTGTCGCAGCTTATCAAATTCGTGTTTTACTGGATTCAATATCTTACACTGTGCCTATTTTCGAATAACTTGTGCCATCTAGGCACATGGTTTTATACTTTAGAAAATTTCTAAAAATACTAAGAAATTATAATATTGTTTTTCACGTCAATGAATTTCACTAGGCCAAATACATGTTGCCGACGGGTTCAAAGGAGTAGGTAGACTAGACCAAGTAGAGCTGACAAATCTAACTGGATCTCGAGTATACATGTTCTTCTCCCTTTAGTATGGTTTGCAGGGCTTTACACTTTTGCAATGGATGCTACAGCGGTATTTCTATTAGTGAATTATTTTATTTATTCAGATTTGTTTTGTAGTATATGTCATTGGCAGAGCTTGAATCAGCAACCCTTGACTTGCTGCTGTACTACTCTAATATGGGATCCGCGTCGATACTCTCTACCTTGTTTGCCACACACGGTAGCCATCAAATATTTATCAAATATTCATACCTGTTTCTGTAAGTATGATACAATCTCTATAGTGCACATTTTCAGAAAGCTTTGAATGTGACCTCTATGGGCATAAGAACTTGAGTCCCTAACTCAAAGTATTTTCATTTTGTAGCTGTTGGTGCCATTTTATTCAATTCAAAGCGCAAGCTTTTAATTGCAAAATAAAAAAAATTTCAATATAGGCAATACTTATATATTTATATTTAAAAAAATTCAACATAAGAATATTTAAAGGATTTAATATAGGCAATTGTGATTTATACGCCGAACCTGAAAGGCTTTTCACACAATATTTACTACTTTGTGCATTACTAGTAATCTCACTAGAGTCATTATTCACCAAGCTGAAATTATCAGAACTTAACAGCTATCCTTTTTTAGACTCTTTGTGAAGCGGTCATTCAGAACAGCATTTTTGAAACAATTTTTTGGGCCCTAGAAAAGTAATTGTGACGATTTCCACATATTTGCTTTTACATAAATAGACAGTGCACTACCAGCAAGAAAGAAAGAGCAATTAGCGTGGGTAGCAGTAGTGCTCGTAGGTGCTTATGAAGCGCAGTCCCATTATGAATGCTATTTTGCCTGAGTAGTTCTTAAGGAATAGTAGTATCTCTTCCACAGAATCACTGTGAAAAACGCAGCTACGGCATGGTTATTTGGATGCGAAAGATGTGAGCATCATTCGTAGAAACATTGTTGTGTAATAGCATTGATTTAAATATATAGTTGAATATTTTATTATTCGCTGTATTATTAAATACGAGGCAGGTATATATTCGCTGTTTAATTTAAGCTTATAGCTTATAACGTTATAGCGTTTATAAAAGCAAAGATGGCAATTCAAGTACGGAAGATTGCTAAACAACGAGGATACATTGGGCATTGACAGTATGAGGACATTGATAAACGCGGGACAGTTAATTTCTAAATACATTCTTCCCTAAGTCTCTAAGTGGCATTTTCTAGAATTATACTGACGTAATTGCTTTTTCTAATCTGTAATCTGAGGGAACACGAAAGCAACATGTTGTTAAAACGATAATGGGAACATCTGAAGCAGATTTTGCGATCGTCGCAGTTTCGAACGTCACAGCCTGTGGCGATACAACCTCTCAGGCTTGTAATCGTGAAACCGAACTATAATCAATTTTGGTAAGCTACTAAGTCGCTGAAGTATCGTCATGCTTGCATGATTCAGGCTACCAAAAAGTGCTTCGCTGCGTTTTCTAATCTCTGTGCTTTTTTGCTCGTGGATTCTAGAATGCGATTCGAAACTTCTGCCTGATCTTAAGTCAGCGGAAATAAATCGTTCGGTTGAACAGCAAATAGTAACAGTGCTTATTGACAAGACTCGTAAAGTAACTCAATATCTCGTAAGAGATATTTGTAGTCTTGCTGGCCGTCGTTTTTCTCCAAACACCTACCTGTGAAGTTTATTAGCGTCACGTTAACCGCTGAGGTAGAAGAACTGTTCAGCCATCAAAGACTGCCACTAATCGTACCATTGAAATTACAAGGGGATATTATCAGAAATATAGATCATCATTATAAACATTCATGAAATTCATTAGACCCGCTTTAAATCTTGGATTGTTTGCAGACAGTGTTTTCTAACCGTCTTTAAATAAAGGAAGTACTTTTATTTCCTACAAAGACAATAAGACTGCAGGAAGCCTATTTAAAACATTAGAAAAAGTTTGTTCATAACTACAATGAATACAGCGTTGATTTGGACCTCAATTGAATTTATTTCCTGTATTTACACGCTGCTTAAGGGAGTTCAGCAAAGAACATCGCGTGTTATTATCCTATTTTCAGAGTTATTTTACAGGTATAGAATCACAAATCGACTTTGTAAAGTTGTTGCTATAAGCTACCCATTCTCTGAGCTGGTAAAGCTCAAGCTTGGGGAGGTCTGCGTGTAAACTCAAGCTGATCGAGTAGATATTTCTGTAAAGGCGAATATACTGGCAAACGCGGCGCACACGCCTGTAACAGAACAA